ACTGTCTATCACTCCAACAGTCAATAGTGGTTACCATGATTGCTGTCTATTATTCCAATAGTCAATAGTAGTTACCATGGTAACTGTCTATCACTCCAACAGTCAATAGTGGTTACCATGGTTGCCGTCTATTATTCCAAAAGTCAATAGTAGTTACCATGGTAACTGTCTATCACTCCAACAGTCAAAAGTGATTACCATGGTTACTGTTTATCACTCCAACAGTCAATAGTGGTTTCCATGGTTACTGTTTATCACTCCAACAGTCAATAGGGGTTTCCATGGTTACTGTCTATCACTCCAACAGTCAATAGTGGTTACCATGGTTGCCGTCTATTATTCCAAAAGTCAATAGTAGTTACCATGTTGACTGTCTATCTCCCCAACAGTCAATAGTGGTTACCATGGGTGCTGTCTATTATTCCAATAGTCAATAGTAGTTACCATGGTAACTGTCTATCACTCCAACAGTCAATAGTGGTTTCCATGGTTACTGTCTATCACTCCAACAGTCAAAAGTGATTACCATGGTAACTGTTTATCACTCCAACAGTCAATAGTGGTTTCCATGGTTACTGTCTATCACTCCAACAGTCAATAGTGGTTACCATGGTTACTGTCTAACACTCCAACAGTCACTATTGGCTACCATGATTGCTGTCTATTATTCCAACAGTCAACACTAGTTACCATGATTACTGTATATCACTCCAACAGTCACTAGTGGTTACCATAGTTACTGTTTATCACTCCAACAGTACTATTGGTTACCATGGTTACTGTCTAACACTCTAACAGTCAATAATGGTTACCATGGTTACTGTCTAACACTCCAACAGTCTGTTATTCCAACAGTCAATAGTGGTTACCTTGGTTACTGTCTTTCACACCAACAGTCAATAGTGGTTACCTTGGTTACTGTTTATCACTCCTACAGTCAATAGTGGTTACCATGATTACTGTTTATCACTCCTACAGTCAATAGTGGTTACCATGATTACTGTTTATCACTCCTACAGTCAATAGTGGTTACCATGATGATAGTAACTGTGTATTACTCCAACAATCACCAGTGGTTCCTATAGTAATTCTGGATCACTTCCAATCACCAGTGGTTATTTTGGTAATTGTGTATCATTCCTAGTCACTCATGATTACCATGTATCAATCCATGTCATGAGAGACTTCCATTGTTCATTGTCATCCTGAATACCACCTAGTTAGTGATAACATGAAACTTACCAGAAACTGTGGTCTTCCAAGGGCTGTCATCTTGATAGCGACAAACCCAGTGTTGGCCTCTGTAGCTCCTATTGTAAACAAAACACACCATTAACAGATGTTAAATAACATTTTCTGTTAACATTAATCTTTATTATCAATATGGATTATCACTCAACTTATTGAAGAAATGTGCTTAGTTGATGTAACAGCTGTGGACTCTGTAAGTATACATTTCCAACAACGGTAGCTGTTATAATCAAATACAAATATTAATCTAAAATTACAATTTGATACAAAAAAAATTAATGTATTTTCAAAGCCTACCTGCCACAGCATCTATACACTTGAGGAAGGTCTCCATGTTTGTGTCACAGTTTGCCTCATCCTCATAGAAATAGGTCCTCGCAGATATAACCTTGTTTCGTCGATCTCCGAACTTTTTGTGGGCCAAGAACTTTTGTTTGTCAGGATCTGAATTACAGACATTTAAAAAACTATGGCACGATTTACATATATGTTATAGTATATACATGTAGGTCACAAATCTAACAATCTAATATCATATTTTACATATCACATTCGATGAATACCCTTGAAATTGTTGTAATACAGTACACTAACAACTGGTATAAGTATTGGTGTCCTTGTGATTCCCTTTCATTTCTTTCTAGCATACAAGTCATTCATTAAACTTTTTTATAGGCGTCAAGTCCCTGTGACTCCCTTATACTGATTTATAGGCATCAAGTCCCTGTGTCTCCCTATTACTGTTTTATAGGCATCAGGTCCCTATGTCTCCCAAATACTGTTTTATAGGCATCAGGTCTCTTCTCTGTGTCTCCCTAATACTGTTTTATAGGCATCAAGTCTCTGTGTCTCCCAAATACTGTTTTATAGGCATCAGGTTCCTATGTCTCCCAAATACTGTTTTATAGGCATCAAGTCTCTGTGTCTCCCTAATACTGTTTTATAGGCATCAGGTCCCTGTGTCTGCCAAATACTGTTTTATAGGCATCAATCCCCTGTGTCTCCAAATACTGTTTTATAGGCGTCAAGTCCCTGTGTCTCCAAATACTGTTTTATAAGCATCAGGTCCCTGTGTTTCCCAAATACTGCTTTATAGGCATCAAGTCTCTGTGTTTCACTAATACTGTTTTATAGGCATCAGGTCCCTGTGTCTCCCAAATACTGTTTTATAGGCATCAAGTCCCTGTGTCTCCAAATACTGTTTTATAGGCATCAGGTCCCTGTGTTTCCCAAATACTGTTTTATAGGCATCAAGTCTCTGTGTCTCCCTTATACTGTTTTATAGGCATCAAGTCTCTGTGTCTCCCGAATACTGTTTTATAGGCATCAAGTCCCTGTGTATCCCTAATACTGTTTAAAGGCACTAGGTCCCTGTGTTTCCCTTATACTGTTTTAAAGGCCTCAATTCCCTGTGTTTCCCTAATACTGTTTTATAGATACTTGATTTTTTAACAACAAATATGAATCAAGTTCTTTCAACTTAAAATAATCACTCATGTTGGCTAGGATATTAGCACACCAAGTCCCTGTGCCTACCCGACAAGTTATGGTCGGTGTTATTCATAATACACTTTTACGGCACAGAAACATGCTGCTTAATGATTTACATGAGTAAATAACAATTAAAAGAATGCTGGCATTTATCCATCTGTCACAGAACCCAACACAAAGCTTATTACCACAATTAATGTACACTGTATATACACGGGCCAGAAACATTCTTATGTGTCAGGAAAATGAAGCTTATGAATATCTCTGTCCGACACAAATATAATTATGTTTTTATGAATCTAATAAAGTTTGTCTCGATTTTGCATTCGTAAAACTACAGACAAGAGGAGATAAAAACAAGATACAAAAATACAAGCCCATATTTGCAAAACCTATTTTATCCAAGAAAACATAAAACAAAAATCAAATATGACATTTTGAACGATGAATATGAAAAGTTACTAATTTGTTAGAACTTTGTTGTACGACACCACTTACAATCAATGTACAGTTGTGGGACCGCACAACGCACCATAAATAGCGTGCGCACACCGTGCATACATCGTTCACACACCGTCCGCACATCGTCCACACATGGTGCGCACAACTGTGCGATTTAGCAATCGTTCGCCCCGTTGTGCGCTTCTCTCCGCACAACTGGGCGATTTGGAATCATTTTTAGATCAAAATTAAGGAATGACAAAAATACGGAAGGCTTGTATGCGATAATGTACACTGTGTATATATCTGTAATTTCTCATCAAAATAATCAAGATTATACAATTTCACAATGCGTGTTACACAGTATTACAGCGACCGTTAGGCTGTCAAGAATGGGTTTGGCTCCAAGTCAACAGAACAGGTAAATAACAATTTTATGAGTGTCCGGAGTTTTACCTGACCAGTGCCTGACACACAGAGCTGATATGCGATACCGTTTGACCGTAATGAATAGTATTTGTTATTTGCATTCGTTTGCCTATAGCTCCCCTTCACCTGGATTTTCACACCCCCGGCCTTACCCGACGAGTTACGTAAATGCCCCAGGCGGGGAGAAAACTACGGTCCAGGTACATGTACAAAGTGGTTATGTTTACCTGTATACGGGATTGTGTTGTAATTTTACATGTGTCGATTAAGTTTGTTTAGAAACACAGAAAACACAATTCCTAAATATAAGAATATATAGACAGAAAGATAAGTTTATAGATGTTGCTAGAATATAGAAACATACGTAAACATCAAGTTTATATGTTTAAACACGAAACCGTATAAATTGTTAAGGCATTCCTCAATTTACACCAACCACGATTGTTATCGCACAACGTCCGTTCATCGTGCGCACATATGTGCGCAAGCAATGATCGTTCAGCTTTTTAATCGTTCGCCCATCATGCACACACCGTTCACACATCGTGCGCACACCGCACATCGTGTAACGTTGTGCGATCCCACAACTGTATCGATTATATCACTCAGCATTTATTTTTGTATTTACTGCTCATATGTTTATATTTACTGTTCATATATTTATATTTACTGTTTATATATTTATATTTACTGCTCATATATTCATATTTACTGTTCATATATTCATATTTACTGTTCATATATTCATATTTACTGGCTATGATTGCAATATAGAACTGATAAAGCAAAATCTGGTATTGTTTACATTATTAATATATAATGGTTATTAATAATACAGAAATAAATATACATGTTGTTAATGGAAATATGAAAAAAAAATGAGAAAAGAAACCAGCATTACACCACAAGAATAATATGTCGGTTAAAAAATACACCAAATCACTTTGTCTGAATCAAGTTAAAAATGTACATGTATGTTATTTTCTCCAGTTGGTTAGGTTAAGGTTAAATCTATGTTCAAATCCATGAAGCAATTTATTTTTCATTTTGAATCTAGTTACTGTCTGTTGCTGAAAGCTGAAAGATTTAAAAAAATATACTTTCTGGTTGTGGAAATAGAACCAAACTAACCAGCTACACCAAAAAACAACCATAAAAGTTAGTTAACCAATTCACCCCCTAAAGCCACATTTGAACCTTACAAAATCAAAGACTGGGCAAGTCCAGTTTAAACATGTAGGGGTTAATGAGTCAATCATGGCATTACTAAAGTTAGAGAATCACGAACATGCTATACCAGGCCACATGTAAACATTGGACCTCACAATTAAAAAGAAATTAATAGAATGGATACTGGTGCTAAAGCACTTGGTAGCAGTAAATCTTTGAGAAATACCTTCCCAGCAAAATATCTGCATCAAAGTTGATGAGGTAATAAAAATACTGCAGTCAGGTTAACGTGATGGTACCCAAAATGGAACACTTTCTTTTAAGAAAAATATTAGTGTATCCTATATCTTGAACATCAACCTTTTTACTGTAATGATTAAAAGATGCCTTTAGCTTTCATTTTACCTATTTTTTTGGTGCGTTGGTGCATCAGTGCATGTGTCTATTTAGGGAGCTCCTTTCGTTGAGTCAGGTTCCAAACCTAAATAAATGTGATTCATTCTCTAAATTTGAAATAAATTATTAAAATGACTGTTTAGTGATCTGATTTGGGTACTGTCACCTTATCCCACTTACTGTAGTGGCAGTATCACAGGTCTAAGATTGATGTTATGTGATATAATTATATATTTATATTCAGGATATTATCTGGTATTGTTTACATTATTTATAAATAATGGTAATGAATAATACAGAAACAAATATACATGTTGTTAATGGAAATATGAAAAGAAAATGAGTTAAATATGTTAAAGAAAAAGTTAAATATGTTGGTTATTCTGAATTATGAAAGCTACATATTATACATAAATCAATACAGTATATAACATACAGAAATGTTATCCTGTTATAAATTTGTTATGTTTGTTATCCTGTTATAAATTTGTTATGTTTGTTATCCTGTATAAATTTGTTATGTATGCATTAATATTGTGTTGATATTAAGAAGTACACGCTCTATTTACCCATGTCAATGTGCTCTGCATCTGTGTTGTCATCCAATCAGAAAGGTTCTTACATCATTATATAATTCTATCGCAATGACATGTCATCCAATCAGAAAGGTTCTTACATCAGTATAAAATTCTATCACAATGACGTGTCAACCAATCAGAAAGGTTGTTACATAAGTAAATGATTTTATCACAAAATATGATTACATAAAATAACATATAACCAGATAAAAATGTGGTAAAACATTTTCAATGTAATTGCTCCTTCAAGTGACTCTCCCGATATTGTGAAAGCTTCCTTCCTTACACAGGTACCAGCCATAGTTAACAAAGAACTTTACGAGGAAATTTTCCTGAACCGAAAAAAGGGCAAGAATTATTTGTGAAGTATGGTTAACATGTTGAATCAAGAGCACTCAAAACTTAGTGCAAAGTGCATCACACGACAAGTCATTACATACATGTATTATAAATGTACACATCAACACAACCAGTGAAAATCTCTTACTTTTAAGTTCAAATATATTGATATATAAAATATATCATGATTTTTCAATTACCCAGGCAAGCCAGGGTGTGAAATCTTGGCTATAAACTCTGCAGTTAGGTGCAGGGGTGCGTTAACTCACCTGATATCTCTTCACTATTTACTGTACACAGAATTAAACACCAATGAAAGATTTATAGATAGTATACAGTAAACCTTGTTTTACAGCTATCTCTGTAAAACTTCACTATACTGCCATTACTGTACTGTAAACCTTAGTAGTACTGCCATTACTGTACTGCTAAACCTAGTTATACTGCCATCATTGAACTGTTAAACCTTTTTATACTGCCACAACTGTACTGTAAACCTAGTTATACTGCCACCACTGTACTGTTAACCTAGTTATACTGCCACCACTGTACTGTTAACCTAGATACTCTGCCACCACTGTACTGTTAACCTAGTTATACTGCTACCACTGTACTGAAAACCTAGTTTACTGCTTCCACTGTACTGTAAACCTAGATATACTGCCACCACTGTACTGTTAACCTAGATATACTGCCACCACTGTACTGTTAACCTAGTTATACTGCTACCACTGTACTGAAAACCTAGTTATACTGCTTCCACTGTACTGTAAACCTAGATATACTGCCACCACTGTACTGTTAACCTAGATATACTGCCACCACTGTACTGTTAACCTAGTTATACTGCTACCACTGTACTGAAAACCTAGTTATACTGCTTCCACTGTACTGTAAACCTAGATATACTGCCACCACTGTACTGTTAACCTAGATATACTGCCACCACTGTACTGTAAACCTAGTTACACTGCCACCACTGTACTGTTAACCTAGATATACTGCCACCACTGTACTGTAAACCTAGTTACACTGCTATCACTGTACTGTTAACCTAGTTATACCGCTACCACTGTCCTGTAAAACTAGTTATACTGCCACCACTGTACTGTAAACCTAGTTATACCGCCACCACTGTACTGTAAACCTAGTTATACTGCCACCACTGTACTGTAAACCTAGTTACACTGCCATCACTGTACTGTAAACCTAGTTATACTGCTACCACTGTACTGAAAACCTAGTTATACTGCTTCCACTGTACTGTACACCTAGTTATACTGTCACCACTGTACTGTTAACCTAGTTATACTGCTACCACTTTATTGTTAACTTAGATATACTGCCACCACTGTACTGTAAACCTCGTTATACTGCTTCCACTGTACTGTAAGCCTCGTTATACTGCTTCCACTGTACTGTTAACCTAGATATACCGCCACCACTGTACTGTAAACCTCGTTATACTGCTTCTACTGTACTGTTAACCTAGATATACTGCCACCACTGTACTGTTAACCTAGTTATACTGCTTTCAATGTACTGTAAACCTAGATATACTGCCATCACTGTACTGACTAAACCTCGTTATACTGCTATCACTGTACTGTTAACCTAGATATGCTGCCACCACTGTATTGTTAACCTAGATATACTGCCACCACTGTACTGTAAACCTAGATATACTACCACCACTGTACTGTTAACCTAGTTATACTGCTTCCACTGTACTGTTAACCTAAATATACCGCCACCACTGTACTGTAAACCTCGTTATACTGCTTCCACTGTACTGTTAACCTAGATATACTGCCACCACTGTACTGTTAACCTAGTTATACTGCTTTCACTGTACTGTTAACCTAGATATACTGCCATCACTGTACTGACTAAACCTAGTTATACTGCTATCACTGTACGGTAAACCTAGTTATACTGCTACCACTGTATTGTTAACCTAGATATACTGCCATCACTGTACTGTTAACCTAGTTATACTGCTCGCACTGTATTGTTAACCTAGATATTCTTATTCTGCCACCACTGTACTGTTAACCTAGTTATACTGCTTTCACTGTACTGTTAACCTAGATATGTTGCAACCACTGTACTGTAAACCTAGTTATACTGCTACCACTGTATTGTTAACCTAGTTATACTGCCACCACTGTACTGTAAACCTAGTTATACTGCCACAACTGTACTTTAAATCTAGTTATACTGCTTCCACTGTACTGTTAACCTAATTATACTGCCACCACTGTACTGTTAACCTGGTTATACTGCTTTCACTGTACTGTTAACCTAGTTATACTGCTATGACTGTACTGTAAACCTTGTTATACTGCCACCACTGTACTGTAAACCTAGTTATACTGCCACCACTGTACTGTAAACCTAGTTATACTGCCACCACTGTACTGTAAACCTAGTTACACTGATATCACTGTACTGTAAACCTAGTTATACTGCCACCACTGTATTGTTAACCTATATATTCTGCCACCCCTGTACTGTAAACCTAGTGTAAACCTAGTTACACTGATATTACTGTACTGTAAACCTAGTGTAAACCTAGTTATACTGCAACCACTGTACTGTCAACCTAGTTTTACTGCTACCACTGTATTGTTAACCTAGATATACTGCCAGCACTGTACTGTAAACCTTTCCACTGTACTGTTAACCTAGATATACTGCCACCACTGGACTGTAATTCTAGTTACACTGCTTTCACTGTACTTTAAACCTAGTTACACTGCCACCACTGTACTGACTGTAAACCTAGATATACTTCCACCACTGTACTGTAAGCCTAGATATACTGCCACCACTGTACTGTTAGCCTAGTTATACTGCCACAACTGTACTGTTAACCTAAATATACTGCCACCACTGGACTGTAATTCTAGTTACACTGCTATCACTGTACTCACTGTACTGTAAACCTGGTTATACTGCCGCCACTGTACTGTAAACCAGTTACACTGATATCACTGGACTGTAAACCTAGTTATATTGCCACCACTGTATTGTAAACCTAGTTATACCGCCACCACTGTATTGTTAATCTATATATTCTGCCACCCCTGTACTGTAAACCTAGTTTTACTGCCACCACTGTATTGTCAACCTATATATTCTGCCCCCACTGTACTGTAAACCTTTCCACTGTACTGTTAACCTAGATATACTGCCACCACTGTACTGCAAACCTAGTTACACTGATATCACTGGACTGTAAACCTAGTTATCCTGCCACCACTGTACTGTAAACCTAGATATACTGCCACCACTGTACTGTAATTCTAGTTACACTGCTATCACTGTACTTTAAACCTAGTTATACTGCCACCACTGTATTGTTAACCTATATATTCTGCCACCACTGTACTGTAAACCTAGTTATACTGCTTCCACTGTACTGTAAACCTAGTTATACTGCCACCACTGTATTGTTAACCTAGATATACTGCCACCACTGTACTGTAAACCTAGATATACTGCCAGCACTGTACTGTAAACCTAGTTATACTGCTACCACTGTATTGTAAATCTAGTTATACTGCTTCCACTGTACTGTAAACCTAGTTATACTGCTTACACTGCACTCTAAACCTAGTTATACTGCTATCAATGTATTGTAAAACCTAGCTATACTGCCAGCACTCTACCATGAAACCTTGTTATACTGCCATCACTCATTTGTACAACCTTGCTATAATGCAATATTACTGTAATGTAAAACTCTAATACTTTTGCATAAAAGTATCATAAAACTGTGTTATACTGAGACCAATATACAAAAAAAAAACTTCTTTTATTGCCATCATTGTACTAGTTGTTAAAATATGTTAAATGAATATAATCAGTGATTTGTATAAATTTCTTTATGAGTGTTGGTTTTTGATTTTACTAATTGATAATTAGCCATCTTGCAAAAGATTTACATTCTAGATTTATTGGCAATGTTTGGTTATACTGAGATTTTGTAACCATATGCATGGCCATACAGAGGCAAATTATTAAACAGTTTTGATCATAGTCAAGGACATATCAACTATGTTTGATGGTACTACTTAAACACTGATCGAATAGAGGGTAAGTGATCAGGGTTATCCCAGTCATGTCACTGTCAGAAGGTTAGTACAGCTGTTCTCTGCAAGCTTTCAGAATACTTTTCCTGCACTAGTTCATCTTAATTCACCAGTTCCAAGGAAGCAAAACATTTTACCATTTTGGAAACCTGTACACATTGTTTCCTTAGTTACTTGGGTGCTAATAATCTTAAGCACATCTTGGCAATATAGCATACTCTGCTTTATATTATTTGTCCAATAAAATGTGACATTAAGTAACACATGACATTAAAAGATGATGCATTTTTCTGATAATATTCTGCTGAAGTTGTGTACTGGAGTGATTTTTATTCATGATAATAAAAAATAAAACTGTCTGTTATCTATTTCTTAGGTTGTATTGTCGATTTTGAAAATATATGTAGAATTCTGATAGTTGATCATGATGTACATAAATAAATAATATTATACCAAGGTAAAAGCAATGATCTCATACCTAATGAGGCCTTGTCGTCTGGTTGGTCTTCAGAAACACAGCTCCTGTAAACAAACAATATTAACAATGAACCTACAACACAGATTTTGTTTACACACAAAAAGTATACAATATCAGAAGTATGATTTGAAAACTATGTGGGTATTTTACATATGACCCCCTTTAGCCATGTGATTTGCATGTTGGTCTGATAAAAATGAATGTACAGATGAAGCTAAAATCTATAAATAAGGGGCAAAAATTGTTAAAACTGACATGACAATATGAGTGCCTGCGTGACCATGACCTTACTTCATCTCTGCCTCTTCAGCCTGCTCTGTAGATAGATCCTCCTCCACACTGTAATCCAAGATTGACTTCACGCCAAACTGCTTGTTCCTGCTGACCAATGGTCTAATGGCAACCTGGTCCTCTCCAGCCACAAAGTGACCATAAAACGTTGCCTTCATCATCATGCGGAACAGGGTCCCTCCAAGGATACGACGACTCCATTTCAGTAACTACAACAAAATTGAGAGATGGTTATAGAAATATTTCATGTATATTATAGGACTGTAGGATGAGAATATAATACAGAAAATACTTATGAAAGTACCTAAAAGTAGCAGACTCAACGTGGGTGTCTATCTTAATTAATGTACAGTAGCTGTGCAGAAATTATTTTATTAAGGCATTACAACATATCCCTTTGTTGAACAGCCATGTTATTATGATTTCAATATACATGTATGTCTGAATGTGTAAATCAATGTGCATATTGCTCACCAAATACTGATAATCTTTTCTTACCAGGTAATAACTGTATTTAAGTTTAGATTTATAAAAGAGAGATCAGGTAACATCATTGAGTTTCCCTTAAAACTAAATTTAAAACTTGATAATATACTCTACTCCTTTCTTGTATTGTATCTACCTTCATCTACATCCTTAGAATAAGATGAAACTGGTACTTGTCAAAAAAACATGTAGGACTGACAGTATAAGTTGTGAATAGAAACATGTAAGCTTAAGGCTGACAGTAGAAGTTGTGTATTAAAACATATAGGGCTGACAGTACAAGTTGTGTATTAAAACATCTAGGGCTGACAGTACCCGTAGAAATTGTGTATAAATTGCATGAGTATGTAGGGTGATCATAACTTGATGATAAGTACATAATTTTCATTTAATTTTTTGTTTGACCTATAAATCTATCACACTGGAAACACTGGTTGTATGTTACTTTCATTCAGCTATTATATTGTATATTGGTAGCAAGATAAAAACAATTAACTAACTTGGTTTAACTGTAAAAACTGACACTTATAGTTACTGTGTTGGTCTGGAATTTGGAGGTTGTAGGTTTGAATCCCTCACTCAGGTCTAACTCTGTGTCTGCCACCAACTCCTTTTCGGTCAGTGTGTGTTTGGTAGCAAAGGGATACCATAATACTTGCCAACTCTCCCTATTAAGGAGGGTGACTCCCGATTTTGGACCCATAAATTAAGTATTTTCAACCAGTGAATTTGCTAAAGTATTCCTATGTTCTAAGATCTTATGATTTCATCTGGAAGAACAACTCAAAATATGTCATTTTTACGGGTTATTTTGCATCTAGAGGGTGTATACACTATACACACGTTTTATTTATGTTTTAGTTTTGACCATGCAGAATCCCCCCCCGTGGGAATAAAAAAAAATTGGCAAGTATATCGGATACCCAAACCAGTGGTATAGTGTATTTTGGATTTGGGGTGAAAACTGACAAAATGGAAAGGTTGGTGCTTAATATAACTGAATTACCTGTAGCCCAAGTTTCCTCTGGCCCTGACACCAGACTTACAGACATTTTGATAAATAGATTTCTGGTGCAGGTTAAGGTTAGGGCCAACACCAGACATCTTTCTGTCAAAATGTTTAAGTCTGGTGTCAGGAGCAGAGGATACTCGGGCTAAATTACCTGGTGACCAGGTATCCCAGTTGGTTAGAGCATCCGTCTAAATTTTAGAGGTCATAAATTCAAATACTCTGTCCTAGCCTTTTGTCTCATCTTCACAATAAGCTACATTATTGCAGCTTACTAAGTCTATGTTTAACAGAGCACATATAAATAAGAGTAAGCTACTAAACCAATAGTCCGAGTTTCCTTACTGGCCCTGACACCAGACTCAAGACATTTTGACAGACAGATGTCTGGTGTGGGCCCTAAGTATATATAACATTAACCCACACCAGACAGCTATCTGTCAAGTCTGGTGTCAGGGCCTGAGGAAACTCTGGCTACTAAACCAAATTGGGGGTGGGCATTGCAAACAATTTTCATATTGCAATACATCTTGGGAATGTTGCAATAGATCACAATATATTGTACTCCTAAAATTCATTTAATTTACAATGATTTTATATGTTTGAAAAGTGATTGTCAGTTCAGTAAGATGGTAAATTGAATATTATTTTGTACAGTTTGGAAGTTATCCAAACAAGTTTATAAGGCCAGACAAAAAAACATGTGTTTCCTAGTAACATATATATATGCTATTTTTTTAGGGTAGGTAGGTAGATAACAAATTTTAATTAATAAATAATTGTATATGGATTATATAGGAGAATGATCAGTGCTTTTTTGAAAATTGACTTAAAACGTAAAGGGTAAGTTAGACACAAAAAACAGTGTAGGTACAACAAGACGGAGACGTAATATACGTCTCTGGGAATGGTTACAGGAAACACAGATATTTTTGTTTGGCCTTATTTGAATAGATTTATTCATCATCATCTTTCTGGACAGGAAAAACTCTGTGTGGAGTGTATTATTCCAGTATTGATTTAATCTTAACATTAAATATTCAATATGTAATTATTTTCTCACGATAACAGTACATAAATTCCGCCAGAAAAAAAAAACCATTGCAACATATTGCCATTTAAAAAAATTCATATTGCAATATACATTCTGCCAGTGCAGAGACGTATTGGTCCTTATATTACAATTTATAAGTCTCTGGCTAGTGTAACATGAGAGGATACATGCGCGACCTGTTACACGGTATAGAAACAAGCTAACTGTTACATATTAAAAAGCTAGGCTAGTAACTGCAATAACAAATGAATGAATAAGAGACTATATTATACCTTGTTATTATGGACGACCAGTGACTGTATGGAGCACATGTTGAAGACGAAAAGAGCCCGAACCAGCTCCGCCGTCGTCTTACTACGATACGCTTCCTTCCCATTACTGAAGGACAAATCGACAACGGGATGACCATCGCTATCCAATCCAGATTTGTCGTCGATACCCTCTGACGATATCGACGCCGCAGAGGCAGTCGTGGACTTTGAAGTATAGTGTTGGGTCTGTAACAAGGAGACTGGACAAAGTTGTCTGTAAACAGATGAACCGTTCGTCTTACACAAGGCCCTCAACATCGCCATAGCCGCATAAGTAATGAATGAATGTGTTGGGACAACATTCACTTCTGACATGGAAATGTTACAACGAATTTCATTGGTCGCTACAGACACACCTCCATTTCTCGAAACACGTGTCCCTGGTTCTATGAATCGATTTTTTTAATTTATTTTTTACTATTTTCGGAAATCCAATGTTTCTTGTTCATGGAATTGGATTTATTAAAAAAGTATAGAGCTTGAATTAACTTTTTTTTTAAAGAAAGAAATTAAGAAAGTTATATATATACGCTTAATCTATCATATGAAGTATAAATATTATATGTACCTACATATAACCTTACGGACTCTAATGATTTGAATAGAAACACTCTTTACAAAGAATGGCGGCGGGTTTCGTTTTACACTCTTAAAATCTTTCATCTTGCAGCTGCATGTGTCATATAAAATGGTTTTAAAGAAACACTTACAAATCTAAGATTGATTTTCGACTCGAGTTTATGGTTAAAAAAAATCACGATGGTAAAAAAATGATTTCTTTTAAGATTTTCTAAATATTCTTATATTAACCACGGACTTAGATAACTAATCTAATTCCGTGTATTAACATATCAATACACCTACATTTTCAAAGTATATATATATATATATAATACATCATTGCAATTTGGATGGGATGGGGTCAGAATTTTTGGGGCTCTAAATTAAATGTTTCAAATAAACATTTCCGAATGCAAAATATGAAAAGGCACTTAATATCACTTTTTTGATGAATAACATAAAGTCTAAAATGCACATTAAAATATACGAGATCGCACCAGAGCACTTTTAGCTTTCAATCGGCGGGGTGGGGGCATGTCCCCCGATTCAGACCCTCTGCAGACAAAAGGCCCTGCTACCGGATCCCACTACGAGACTGATATTAACTATAGATGTCTTTGAAGACAGATAAATATACCACGTCGACATTGTTTTGAAATCACAGCAATTAATATCACTGATATCAACTCAGTACATAGCACAATGACATCAATGAAATCCCAGATTACCAACACTTTATAAGTTTACCAGACCCGTCATGGATGGGTCGGCTCTGTTGCTGCTGATCGGGCTCACAGTCCCCGGTCGTGATATCTTTTATGAAGAATTTCCCAGCTGTATATACTACTAGCTTGTCTCCCCTTAGGATGTGTGGTCGTGTGTATAAAATACAAATGGTTAAGAGAGTGCATTTTTTTTTAGTTTAGATGTAACGTCCGTAAAATCAGACATCCAAGTGATCAAAATTAGTCAGGTTTAAAAAAAAACAATATTCAAAAGCAGGGGGGCTAGTCTAGTCTTGATGTTTAGCAATTGCAACTTCCTCCTGCTAAACCAGTATTGGGTAGTGATATGACATCAGTCTTGGGTAGTGATACGAACAACTGGTTTGACCGTTTATAAATGTAACAATTTCGGGTATAACTCCTGGCGGACCTGCAAATGTTTATGCAGGCCTTGCAAGGCTTTATTAAGGCTCGCATCAAAGCAGCATCAAATTACTAGTTCCGACCTTATTTAATAAACGAACAACTGTGGTCCGACCGGTTTGACCGTTTAAACGAAAACGGCCCAGTATTGGGTAGTGATATGACACCAGTCTCGGGTAGTGACATGCCACCAGTATTGGGTAGTGATATGACATCAGTCTTGGGTAGTGATATGACACCAGTCTCGGGTAGTGGCATGTCATCAGTCTTGGGTAGTGATATGACACCAGTCTTGGGTAGTGATATGACATCAGTCTTTGGTAGTGACATGACATCAGTCTTGGGAAGTGACATGACATCAGTCTAAGGTAGTGATATGACATCAGTCTTGGGTAGCGATATGACATCAGTCTTGGGTAGTGACATGACATCAGTCTTGGGTAGTGATATGACATCAGTCTTGGGTAGTGATATGACATCAGTCTTGGGTAGCGATATGACATCAGTCTTGGGTAGTGATATGCCGTGTTGTGTAACCGTTTGTCTAGCACTGTTGCTGGTGGCCATCCCACGTACACCTCTACACCCTTTCTCATTATATCCTGTTGGTTGCACACTCGACCTACCTTCTTACTTCTTCCATCGGTAGATTTCGTTGTACTCCTACCACACCCAGCAATGTCAATGTCCTGCACAATGATTGAAATGGATTGACTGAAAATTCACTGTGAATATTAAACTTCTACTTGCAGACATATGATACTCTCCACGCCCTCAAGCTGATATCTTGACAAAATGACCAGTCGGTCTGGAAACGTTAATACGTACAATGTAAGTGTATCAAGTGAAACTTTGATATTATACCCTCCAAGTCTGTTGTTGTCATTCTTCAATGGTGCTTTTTCAATTCATATATCTAGAAATCGTCATGGATAGGTCGGCTCTGTTGCTGCTGATCGGGCTCACAGTCCCCGGTCGTGATATCTTTGATGAAGAATTTCCCAGCTTTATATACTACTAGCTTGTCTCCCCTTAGTTTCTACGTCTACCCACGGACTTTGATATTCCGTGGTCTACCGAATAATTTACCTTCATCATATTGAAGATTATGTCAATGTAGGATTGTGAGAGTGTGTGCATGGCAAAGAAGGATGTGCGGTCGTGTCGTGTGTATAAAATACAAATGGTTTAGAGAGTGCATTTTTTTTTAGTTTAGATGTAATGTCCGTAAAATCAGACATCCAAGTGATCAAAATTAGTCAGATTTAAAAAAAAATCAATATTCAAAAGCAGGGGGCTAATCTAGTCTTGATGTTTAGCAATTGCAACTTCCTCCTGCTAAACCAGTATTGGGTAGTGATATGACATCAGTCTTGGGAAGCGATAGGACATCAGTCTAGGGTAGTGACATGACATCGGTCTTGGGTAATGATTTGACATCAGTCTGTGGTAATTGTATGACATCAGTCTCGGGTAGTGATATGACATCAGTCTTGGGTAGTGATATGACATCAGCCTTGGGTAGTGATATGACATCAGTCTTGGGTAGTGATATGACATGTGTCTTGGGTAGTGATATGACATCAGTCTCGGGTAGTGACATGACACCAGTCTCGGGTAGTGATATGACATCAGTCTTGGGTAGTGACATGACATAAGCCTTGGGTAGTGATATGACATCAGTCTTGGGTAGTGATATGACACCAGTCTTGGGTAGCGAAATGACATCAGTCTTGGGAAGCGATATGACATCAGTCTTGTAGTGATATGACATCAGTCTCGGGTAGTGATATGACCTCAGTCTTGGGTAGTGACATGACATCAGTCTTGGGTAGTGACATGACATCAGTCTTAGGTAGTGACATGACATCAGCCTTGGGTAGTGACATGACATCAGTCTTGGGTAGTGACATGACATCAGTCTTGTGTAGTGATATGACATCAGTCCTGGGTAATTATATGACATCAGTCTTGGGTAGTGATATGACACCAGTCTCGGGTAGTGACATGCCACCAGTATTGGGTAGTGATATGACATCAGTCTTGGGTAGTGATATGGCATCAGTCTTGGGTAGTGATATGACATCAGTCTTGTGTAGTGATATGACATCAGTCTTGGGTAGTGATATGATATTAGTCTTGGGTAGTGACATGACATCAGTCTTGGGTAGTGATATGATATTAGTCTTGGGTTGTGACATGACATCAGTCTTAGGTAGTGATATGACATCAGTCTTGGGTAGTGATATGAAATTAGTCTTGGGTAGTGATATGACATCAGTCTTGTGTAGTGATATGACATCAGTCTTGGGTAATTATATGACATCAGTCTTGGGTAGTGATATTACATCAGTCTTGGGTAGTGATATGAAATTAGTCTTGGGTAGTGATATGACATCAGCCTTGGGTAGTGACATGACATCAGTCTTGGGTAGTGACATGACATCAGTCTTAGGTAGTGATATAACATCAGCCTTGGGTAGTGACATGACATTAGTCTTGTGTAGTGATATGACAACAGTCTTGGGTAGTGATATGACATCAGTCTTGGGTAGTGATATGACATCAGCCTTGGGTAGTGACATGACATCAGTCTTGTGTAGTGATATGACATCAGTCTTGGGTAGTGATGTGACATCAGCCTTGGGTAGTGACATGACATCAGTCTTGGGTAGTGATATGCCGTGTTGTGTAACCGTGTGTCTAGCACTGTTGCTGGTGACCATCCCACGTACACCTCTACCCCCTTTCTCATTATATCCTGTTGGATGCACACTCGGCCTACCTTCTCACTTCTTCCATCGGCAGATTTCGTTGTACTCCTACCACACCCAGCAATGTCAATGTCCTGCACACTGATTGAAATGGATTTACTGAAAATTCACTGTGAATATTAAACTTCTACTTGCAGACATATAATACTCTCCACGCCCTCAAGCTGATATCTTGACAAAATGACCAGTCGGTCTGGAAACGTTAATACGTACAATGTTAGTGTAGCAAGTGAAACTTTGATATTATACCCTCCATGTGTGTTGTTGTCATCCATCAATGGTGCTTTCTCTCTTCATTTATCTAGAAATCATTCCTCCAGATGCTGGCACTTCCTCATCTCTTCCGTATGCCACCTCTAACCTGTCCCCATGGTACCGTATGGTCTACCACCAGAACCTGCTTGGAGTTTTAGGATCTCAGCACCATGGATGGGCGGTTTGGTGTAGAATTCATCTCTGCTGAGAGTTTCATCATTTACTTTGGTGATTGTCTGCTTTCATTTCTAAGTTTTCTGCTATTGCCAGTATCCCGCCTCTCATCAATCTGCCATTTTCTTTTGTCCTTACCATCATCAATTAAGATGAAAAACTTTGGTCCTTTTTATGTCTACCATTTTCTTCCTCCTTGCATTGCCAATATTCCCTGCTACCTCCTTGAGGCGACAGGTAAACTTGGATTTCCCAGCATGATTTTCCATTTTATCTGACTATCATGCCTCGAAGACCATCATTATCGCTGACAAAAAAGAGACTCACATTGGGGAAATATATAATTTTCGATATTTATGTATACGAGCTTGCCGGTCGATGAAAGGTGAAAAAGGCAAGACTTGTTATGGCGGTACATTAGATTCTTGAGCCAATATCACAACTAAGAGAAAGAACGTCATTTGCAACACAAGCATATGCAGGGAAGTACTTGGACGACGCATGTTGACGGAGAACATCGATCAGACAAGGTAAGCGAAAACACAATGGTAAACAAAATATGACAAAGACATCAGGAATACAAAGGTTGTCGATACCCATGAGAGAAGATAAACATGGTCGAACACCTGGCAGCAGCAAGCAATCCGAGTTTCAGCTCCTCTTTAGACTGTGCTACCTATCAAAAAACATTAACAATTCAAACCTCCACATAAGTGAGGCCAAGCAGAGAGCTGCAATTGCAATCTACGTATCAGGCCTTATCCCAATGCACTTCTGCCCTCATCCAAGGACGTTTTATGGGAGACAAGCTAAGGTCCTAACTAAGTTTTGGTCCAAATATATAGATGTGACGAATTTTTAGGCCCCTGTGCATGTGGGTGAACCTGGGACGAAGACATTTTTTCCATATATTGTCAAACAAATCTCCCAACCTGATATTTTTATCTGGTCTTATCCGGGGAGGAAATGACTAGGAAATCAATGAAGAAACAGTCTCCCTACAGCGACATCTCTGTTAGGCTATTTAGCCGGTAAAAAGCTCTTTAGAGCTAATATTATATTTTACAAATTATCCGACTCTAAATAAATATTATTTGATTTGATTTGACTGGTTGGGGACGATCTATAAAAGGGGGGAAAATGCATGCAAAGAATATCTCAGAGCACAGAGGCATGGATCGCTTTACTTGTAATATAAAAAAAAATAGGGGTCTCCTATACTAATATATCCCTTTGTATATATTAGTATAGAAGACCCCTATTTTTTTTATATTACAAGTAAAGCGATCCATGCCCCTGTGTCTCAGAGTGCTAGAGTGGTAGACTGTGTGTGTTGAGGATTCTTAAACCGTCTCATAGAATTAAAATAAAACATAAAGAGAATGGAGTGAATGAGATTGCTAAAGTTCTTATGTCATAATGGTTTGAATGTGTTTTAAAACAAGGAAATGTGATAACGCATGAGTTTTAAAATTACTATACCGATTACAACACCATAAATATGTACTTTAATATATATTTGAACATGGAAAATATCCCATTACACAATATACTGTAGAAGTATACACTTGTTAATTACTCAGCGTTTCGTTCCAATCGGGAATCGAGGGCACTTTCCGTAAACGAGAAAATACCGTCGGAACTGCCCGCTCGTTTACGGAAAGTGCGACAGTTCGCGATTTCATTTCGTTCCAAATTGCTCCCAAGCGCACAGGGTTGCATTTAGTACTCCGATCCAACTTCCGGTGGTACTTCCTCCCGCCAAGTTCGAAGATGGAAAAGCGTATCGTTTGAGTTGTAACCATAATAACTAGATAATTCAAGATGACGGAAGTTGAAAATGAATCTCTGGTCCTTAAACCTTTCGACAAATTACCGTTACTTCATACAGCAACGATTTTGGTAAGCATATCTGTCGAAACTTGTACATTTTCGGTAAACACACTGACACCTGAATCTGGCTACCTGCAATGCCATGATGAGAGACGTTGCATTCCCACTGTTGGTGAATTACAGTAGCAAAGGATAATGAGAGCACCAATGAAGTTGGGTTTGTTGTATGTACCTTATAGCCGACCTGTGTTTAGAGGCTTGGAAACAGTTCAAGATATTAGACCAAATAAAAATATATACATGTGTTTCCCGTTTCGGCTCAAAAAAATATATGTATAATAGATATATATAGGAAGGTATGTAAAACATCTTTTTTTTAATTTTTTTTTTTCTGGTGAAGATAATCTCCTGAATACCAGCGTGAATGTTAAAAATATGTTATTGTTGCAATAAAGTATGAATGGCACCAAATATATAATTTTTTATTCATGTAAAATAAAAAAAATAAAAATAATAATGTTTATGGAATAACCAACGTAAGTTACAGTAGTACTACCACCAGTGTTACATTTCTAAATTATCCCTACTGCCGTACACTAGCTTTTAGCCATCCAAACTCCACTGATGGTCACCAGAGTTACATTCTCTTTCGTTTTACTGATTTTTTCTGTTCTCGATTTCCACTGCCACCAGTTCAAATTAATTGACCAACAAAATAATTTTAAGTACATTTATATTTGCAACACAAGTTTTTAATCGTCATAAAATATACAAGTCTTCACCATTGTGAACTCAATCTCTCCACTCCAAACTTATTTCCAACTATAAACTAAAAAACTACACCGATCCACAAACTACAGCTAAAACTACTATTATTACTAACTTTCTAATTCTCACTTTAACTCTTGACTTTATAAATCTCCTCTATATCTCTAGACTTCTCAACTCCGTTTCCCTAACTCAACCTCCTTCCTGAAGAGTCCTTAACTCAACTCCCCAACTCAACTCTCTTCTCCCCCTTTGACTCCCAATTGCAAGCTAAACCAGCTTACTATCTTTGCAAAACCCTGCTACATTGAAAATTTTGATACATTAAAATTGTTGATGCTGCTGAAATTCTGCTAAAAATCGACCCCTATACGACTAGGTTAAACTGACCATAAATCCTGCTTAATTTGACTCCAGCGGTCAGCAATTCGCTGGAGGCACAAACACTGACATCACAGACTGGAGACTACAGAGGGTCACACTAATATACATATCCAAACCTACATCATAAGCACAATTATCTACAGCTACTTAGCTACTATCTTCAAATCAAACTGACATTGATCACAAGCCAAGGCTAATAAAATTGCTAGCAAATTATATGTACACTTTGAACAATTAAACGGCTAATAAATGCATAACAGTGATTGTGAAAAAAACAATATTATGTATTAGGGTCAGCATAAAAAAATAGGGTCGGTCGGGAAATGGGAAACACAGCTATATTTTTATTTGGCCTATGATGATTAGATAGTGTCACATATCAAGTTTGGTAATCATTCAAGGTACACAAATTAAATATGTTAGGTTATGACCATTGTTGAAAAAGTTTATTGGAAATATTACTTTTTGTCTGAAAAGTGACATTTAGTAAAAAAAAAATGTGAACATACACAGTCTTTAATATTGTAAATAATAAAATAATAACCACAGTCATGATGTACTTGTAGCAGAGCTGGACTGGCTTTTTTGCCGGCGACCAGGTTGCTCAATTGGCAGAATGTCCGTCTGGAGTTCAGAGGGTCCCAGGTTTATTCCTAGTTTGGCCATGCATTTTTTTCTTTCCTGTTACACGGATGCCTGTGACTAACCCTTAAGTTAATATCAAGTATCGGGTGTACTCTTGTCAAGGGAATCTCAGAACCTCGATTGTCCTCAGGACTCGAGACTTAGTAATAGGAGGGAGGATATAGCAGAACTGGACTGGTCATTTGCCGGTGACCAGGCAGGTAACTCAATTGGTAGAGTGACTGTTAAGAGTTCAGAGGGTCCTGGGTTTGAATCCCAGTCTAGCCACTGGATGGAATGTGATCACTTTTGATGTCTAGACAGTTTTTAAATCTTTCTTTTTAACCATTTTAGCTGATTGGGAGTGAGGGTGTGGGCAAACATGACCTGGCAAAGAGTATTGTTGGAATAGATACTGACGTGTCCTACCAAGTGTAAGTATTTATCTTGTGTCCAGAGATTTTTGTTAATGAAACTGAACAAGACTGGTTGATTGCCAGTAACCATACAGTATACTAGATAGCTCGGTTGCTTAAATTGTCCATCTAAGATTCAGATGTCCTGTTTTCAAACCCACTGCTATGTTTTGTACATATACCTTGAATATACCTATGGAATATTGGGGTAAATGTATATAGAGTTTTAGGCCAAAAATTTGTTTGTTTTAGGTTACTCTACCTACTCTCATTTTCTGTGCCCGCCCTAAACTTTATTGGGGAATTTTCAAGAAAGCACTGTTACTCGAGGTCATTAGTAACTTGATTTATGCATCCAATATGTAAAAGAATAATAAACTCATCTTCAAGTATGGTTAAATAAATCTAGCCTTTTAATGGCTGCAATCATTGCATCTACATGTACATATTTATTGTTGTAGTGGTGTCAAATTATTGTTGCAATGATGTTAATTTCAGACGTACAACTGTGCGCCTACCTCTTCCATCCATTAAGGAGACATCCAGACCACGCATCGACTTTGTCTGTTTCATTGTTGATCTAACTAACAAGGAAAGGTGAGTAACCTGGTAAAACTCTTAACTTTAAGTAAAGAATTTTACAAGTGATAATATCTTGTTGACAGTTTTCGGTAAAATATTATAAATAATATTTCGAGAATCTTATATACCGCTTTATCACATTCTAGTTCGTAGGTCGTCTCAAATCGTTCACAAATTATTATCCGTGGTTATAGGGCCTTTGCAACCAGCCAATATCTTTCTCAACTCCCTGGGAAGCATACAGCCGGTGCTGCCATTTAGGCGCCCACAGCTAGCATTCAACAATTCCAGCACTGCCCAACCACATAATCATTTACAGCTGAGTAGACTGGAACAAGCTGAGTGAAGGATCTTGTTCAAAGATTCAACACAGTGCAGTGACGCGACTCAAACCCACAAATCTTCTGTCACGAGCCCGGCGTCCTTCAACTAGACTAATTTGTCTCCTAACACATGTATAATGAAAAAGATTGCAAGTTATGCCTGAGTTAAGTTTTGGGTGTCTTTGGATATGATATCAAAAGTCCAATGTATGATTATAGATAGGGTCAAAAAACATGTATGTTTTAGGTACCCCAACTGACCCTAGTTTTTACCTTCCACACTAACAATGTTATTTTCACTGGAACACTTACATGTCCCATTCAAAGACATTGGCCTAACACTAGCTAACATATATTATGATATGGACTGGTAATGACTGGACAGATGTGGTCAATGTTCAAAACTGAATTATGGATATTCAGTTTTGCTTCTGGGAAACTGTTTGAGGTCATTAAATGAATTTCGACAGAGATATATGAAGTGTACCTCTATAAATTGTCTTTTTATACCTCTAGTGAAAATGCTGTAATCTGATTGGTTGAAACAAATTGTTCATTTCACACTGTCACACTCTCTTTAACATTGAGTCAATGGAAGGGTGCTTCCCAACGCCCTAGCTAGCAACAGGTGACAGTGGAAAATAGTGACCGCATAAAGTAGATACCCCTACGTTTACCAGGTATTTATATGATACCCTACCCCTGCAAATTCAGGGCATAATTACCAAAAGGATAAGCAGGAACCCTTTTTGTTATGGAGTCAAGATCAAGGTCACAGTGACCCATTTTGTGAAAATCATTTCCAGATTCCTATTCAGAGCAAAATCTTTCTTCACACAACCTTAACATTCAACATGCTGACTGCTAATATAATGCGGTGAAAGGAAACCATTTTAATTTTGGGGTCGAAAGGTCAAGGTCAATGTGACCTGTTGCATGAAAATCATTTATCGAATCTGAATATCCTTTGATCAGCAAACTTAAAATCTAATGTGCTGATTACTCATTGGGTGATAAGGATTCCTATCACTTTTGCGGTCAAAGGTCAAGGTCACACTGATCCATTGTTTAAAAAAAATATGGATAGAACAAGATAGACTGTCTTTTCACCTGTAACTAGTCTATGGACAGCCAGGATCTTGCAAGAAGATCCCTAGTGTTTTTTGGTTCAAAAGTTCACTATAAGAAGTTTTTGAAAATGTATTCTCTTCTCTCTAAATGGTGTACTGTTGTTTAAGACTCGTGTTGTACAAGATGACTACCTATGGGTGAGAGGATTTCTATTGACATTTGATTTGATAAGGAACCCAAGGGATGTATGGAATACAAAGTCACATTAAGTGTTTTTGGTCTTAAAAGATACCTAGTAAAACAAATTGTGTTCATATTGTTATGATATTTATTGTACTTGCATTTCAAAGTGTGATGTGGGAATACTAAAGCCTAGCAGGAGGCTAACATTTCTTGTCACTTACACCTATAAATGAAGTCAGTGGTTTACCCTAGCTGTGGTGCTTAGTAGTCTATAACTGACCTAAATGCAAATACATGCAAGGTCACAAAATATGTTTCGAAACATAATATTGTCATCAAGGCACATAAGCATGTGAATCTGTGAAGTTCTATGTGATAATGATGTTTTAACATTTTGACCTGTGATGTATTTATACACATGTAAAGGTAGTTCTTTTTTTCAGTTTCAACAATATTGAAGAATCATTGAAATACATTGATGGACGCTACTTTCTGGGGAGAGCATGCTTTGTTGCTCTTAAAGGTATGTTTTAGCCATTTTTCACTTCTTTTATCATTGGCATAAGTATTAAGTTTTAATGGTACTTTAACACTTATTTTTGTGTTTATATGTTTAATTCATATTGCAGGCTTCATTTTCGACATAAAAGTGCTTTTTTATTAACAATATTGTCAGTGTTGACTTTGTTGAGGGTTTAACGCGAGACTCAAATCAGTCTGAACATGCATTACATCTATTTCACATTTTCAAACTGATGATTGCTAATACATGTAGTAAAGATAAATTACGAGGACTGTGAGTGTGATCTCTTGTAAATTTAATGATATTCTGAATATATCCTCTTCAAAGTGAAACATTAATTTAAACAGGGAGAATAAGGCACAGTGACCAGTCCTCCACTGTTAAGGTATCGGTGACCAATCTACAACTTATTTTCGAGGGTCCTTTCAACTGTATTGCCTAAAACAATGGGTCCCACAATGTTAAATTGAAGTATTTCCAGAAATTATACGAGTCTCTATAAGTTAAACAATGCAGAATGTTGAAAGTTTAATTGTTTATTTTCCAGTGAAAAACAATGCTTCACGATGCGTTCATCTCGAGGTTCTTACCAGCCTCGCAGATCACTGTGGGGTCCCCATTCTGTACGGAGGATTGGAGGTTTGTAATCTCAGATTTCTCACCACATAATCAGTTGTGATACTCTGAACTAGCATGATGTTTAACTTAATCATATACTCCTTATTCGTGTACTTTTGTTTATGGAGTTATACATTCCCTATTGTGATCTTTTCTGTTAGGAAGTTCCATAATATTTTTTGGAACTTGTTTATGCGAATAGGTAAGAAATCGTACCTGTGGTGAAAAGGTAACAGGTCCATCTCAATTCATTGTTATATTGTAAATAGTTCTCAAATTAGCATAATAGTGATCTTGAACTTTAAGTGAGCAACGTGAACTTTGTGAAGATATTTAAGTACTTGGTTGTGATAATAAATGAGGCTATGCAAGCATGTTGGCCGTAGCTTTAATGTTGTGCCAGTAAACTGAATATGCAGCATACTCTTAGAATATTTCCCCCATGATCATTGTGATACACTTAGCTACATTATGTTTATAGTTATTCTCTGAATTGTTCATAATTACCAGTAAATTTGTATACCAGTAAGTACAGTTGTCTCTTTTCCAGTCTTGGATAGCTTCACACAACAGTATTACATCCATATCAAAATATCCTTCATAATTATTTTTTTCCCTTTTATTTTCCATTTGAAAATTTTCTTTTTTCTCAGACGGATGCAGAGAGCATGACATTAGCCCGTCAAATTCTGACCATGACGGAGATTGCTGCAGGATTTAAGAAAAATGTCTCGCCAGCTCTTATAGACGCTACAAAGATTGCTTTCAATCTTTTATAAAATATTTCAAAAAGAGGATTTTAAAAGGACACTTCAATCTAACCGTACGTGAAATGTACGCTTAATAGTTGATGCAGGTTCATAAGTGTTAAATTGATGTGATTGTGTGTTTCTGGAGTCTGTACTGCAAACAATACGAAGTAGTGTGTTGACATAAGTCAGCTACAATTGTGTGCAAGTGATGAAGAATTGACATCTTAAAATGAGTTACAAATATGTGAAAAGGATTCAAAAGATACATATATACCGTATACAAATGTATATGCAAACATTAAAAAGACAATAGAAAGAACAAGACAATTCATGTTTATCCCTAAAATGATAATATGTTTCCTGTATGTAAATATTGTAAAGTGCAATACCAGAGTAGTTTATTAATGATATTCATTAATTGTACATACAAACTGTATTAAATTTAATGAAATTGATTTATGTTGTTACTTGTTTTGTATTCTTGTGTAACAAAGAACAGAGAATGAATAGCAATATCATGTCAGTAAAAAAAATCTTATTTCAAGAATTCAACAAGACATTTATATTGGTCTCCAAATCTGAAAGGTCCTTCTGCACTTTAGTGGACAAAATAATGCCAATTTGGCAAAATATTTCACAATGAATACCTTCTATATCTGTAGAAGTGATGTTAACAAAATGCAGATTACAAATGGTTGTTGGTCGACATATTTTTAAACTTAATATATGGAATACTTATAATTATATAAAATAAAACATGATAAAAAATCAATAATGCTTTTTTGTATATAAATATTTATTAATGTAAGTTCAAGTGTATCACATTTATTCACTTAATCAAACTCCCATCATTCTCAGGCAGTAAACGACAGTGACAGGCCATTATAAAGTAAATATTGATAAATCATTTTATGTGTAGACACTTTAGCACTACTTCTTTTGAAATTCACATGAAATGATTTTAAACAATTTTAAAAGGACAGAAAATTTTAATTCTTAACTAAGAAAAGAGCAAACACCATTATTCTAGGCCTAGTACTGTGTATTACTGAAACATTTGTGGAGCTTTTATATTTACGAAACTATTTTGTTGAGGACATAAACATCACCATTGATGGGGTTGTTGTACAGCTAAGAAGATTCAAACTTGACACTTGGTTGGTATTTTGGACTAGTATTTAAAACTGTTCATCTATTGGCTATACTCACACCTGCAGTTTAACTTCAGCTATGAACACCATTAGAATATAGATACGCTGAAAGTTTAATATCATACAGCATTGCTCCATCCTGTAGAAGATGAGAGCCCTTAAGCCAACGAGCTACATGCCACATACCATGACTCAAGGCCATATATGGCTCTGTACGTAGAAGATGTTTAAAGATAAAGCTGATGACTGATGTTGCTTTGATTTATGCCATAAAGCCATTTTAGGCTGTACGTACAGATATGTTTTACCATTTTTTGTTAATTTGGTCAATCAAAACATCAAAATGAAAGTAAATCTCCCTCCTTTAAGATAGTATGCCTTTTAAATATTAAATCAAAAACAAGAGGCCCAATGGGCCTGCATCGCTCACCTGGTATAAAACTCACACTTGTAACCTTAAAGTGATCTAAAATAAAGCTACAGGCAAAATATCAGTATTTATGATTAAAATTTGTTCAAAAGACCCTGTTAATGTTTTTTCAAAACATTTCACCCCTGTGATTGAAAGTCGAACAAAGTCATTATGTTGAACACATTGTATAGCCTTTCATCTCAGGATGAAACTTGCAAAGTATAAACATCCTGGGACCCATGGTTATTCATAAGAGGCTGTTTAAAGATTTTAAACAAATTTGACCCCTGTGACCTTGAATATAATTGAAGGTCATTCATTTGAACAAACTTGGTAGCCCTTCATCCCAGTTTGCTTCTGGCCAAATATCATCATCCTAGGCCTTTCGGTTATTAAGAAGAAGTCGTTTAAAGTAAAATATTGACGCCGGACGCCGGACGGACAGACGGACGCCGCACCACGGCATAAGCTCACTTGGCACTTCGTGCCAGGTGAGCTAACAATCTATAAAAGCTATATATAATGCAGATTTATATTCTCTTCTCAAATACAAGTGATGGACGGAATCATATACAAGTTATGACAAGCTCTATTTGAATGGAATGTTTGCATCCACTTCGAATACGGTATGCTAGATCTACATACTCCAATTACTTATGTTCAAAACTTTACATTTGTAAAGTGGAATGCATATGTCATAAAAAACTTTGAAGTAACTAATGGCAAAGATATGTTCAATCATATTCATACACCATGATTATAACAGCTGTGACTATGTGAGGAGGTTCTGATGGTAGGAGTCGTAGCCATCGTGCCAGTGAACCTCCTCTCCTGGAAGCTGCTCCAGGTCTGTAAACTGTCGCAGATGGAACTTTGTCACTTGGTAGTTAACCATTGTCCTGATGGCAAAGTAGCCACACACTACCTCAAACAGAACAAACAGGGCCTCTATGATGTGAACTGCCCGCTCAAGTGGTAACAGAACAGCATCGTCATTAAATGTCAACAGTAAGATCAGTGGAAACTGTATCAGTAATGTAAGTAACCAGGAACCAGCCAACTCAGGAACCTGAAGTATACAAACAAACAAAATGTCAGGAATTTACAAAAGATAAGTATAGATACATAAGCTGAAAGCAAACGGCACATTGCATACACTTCCTGCTATCAATTAGCCACTGCATGCCAAATTAATAAGGGGCAATAACTCAAACACATACAGTAAAATAATAATTGGTTATCATTCTTGAGCCGACATTTGCATCCTAATTAAGCCATGAAGGGATTACACTCTGAAGACTATGGTTGGATAATGTTGGTTATCAAACTTTTTTTTCTTCTGAAAATTGTCTTCAAGTTGGTAAGCATAGCAGAAACCAACCTCGATACTCTTTGGGGTTATGCTCACTTTTGCTCTCTGCACACCTGGAATATGTCGTAGCAAAATTGAAGGCATGTAGATAGCTGGGAGTTGGTCACACCAGTGCTGAGCCTTCAATTTTGCTATGACATATTCCAGGGGTGCAGAGAGCGAAAGTGAGTGCAACCCTTGGAGTATCAAGGATGGGCAGAAATAAATAAATAACCTTTCCATCTGTATATGGAAAGTATGTGGACATGTTATGGAATACAAGAAAACATTAATTGAAATGTGCATCAAACCTGGTGCACATGCTTTTCAAAGAGACACTCATCATTTTTTTTATATACATGGAAATTTAGTTATTACAGACTTCAAGAGTACATACCCTTTCTGTTAGGTTCCCAGTGTAACCTATATACAGGCGGATTATCTCTATGAGTGTATACACGAAGTAGATCGCAATCAGCACAATCACATACAAGATGGAGAGTCGGGTATACTGAAAAACAAGACCATAGTATAATAGACACTCTACACATATGTTACCCTGCATTGACTCTAGACTTTCTCTGTCAATGAAGCAATAATCATGTACAGTTATTGGGATTTTTTTTCATTATAATCTCTTCAGAAATGATTTATTTATAAGCTATTGTCCTGCCAGTAAAAACATTTCAAAATCACAGTGGAGTCTTTGGATCCCGGAGTGGTACCTGGATCCGTATTTAATATCATAACAACCCTTGTTTTTTTCTTTTATTATGCAGTACTTTATATATATATTCAGGGACTTATCTCACATTTTTTTGTGAAAGTACATGTTTATATATTAAGTATATTCCTTTTACTCAATATTGGGACAATTTGTAACTTATTTGTTACATTTTGAGGTATTCTAGAAATTTTCTGAAGGAGGCCAAAAGTTTTTCTTGAAAGCTATCATAAAGAAGACTTAAATTCCTTCATTGTAAAAAATCTTTTCGATGTTATGTAGAATACAAGACTTATGAGAGAAATTTTTGAAGATGGTTTGGTGGAAAACAGCACATGTACAATTTTCCATTCAGAAAGAGGGTCGAATATCAACCCAAGATGTCAAAGATAAGTCTCTGATATTCAAATCTTGTAGTTTCATGAAATGTTACATTCAAACAGCTAGCAGCTATTTACACAAAAGAATATAAATATGACTTTATGATATCAACACATACCTTAATTTCAAAGCACACAAGTATTGATGTTAACCAAAACGGCATGAAGAACATGTTGAAATAGAGTGCCATCTGTAGTGGAAGGTTGGACACATATTCATTCCCTGTAAAACAAACGACACATTGTTTAGAAATACAAATAATGGGGTTTTAATCAATAAGTCAATTAAGTGCTTCCATAGGATTTTAAAACCTGCAACATTGATAATCTCAGCATAACATCTTTGTTACAAGAAGCAAAATCAGCTTTTGCATGATTTAAAACAAAAACAACCATCAAGCCATTTGGATTGATGTATGTTTTGCCTGTGCCCCGCTTTGACCATCAATGCACATATCAGAGAAGCAAACTTAAACGCAAAACTTAATGTTGATGGAGATTCTGACAAAGTCAATGAACCATGAAAGGCAGGCCACATCCAGCACTTGATGCATGGGTTGAGATGTACTACCTAAGATGCATCTATGGTCCAAGTTTGGTTGATCTAGCACTTATGCTTTCAGTGAAACTAAGTTAAACACGAAAACTTGATGTTGCCGCCAACGGAAAAGCAACACCTTAGTCTCGCTTCCACTACTTAGTTGCAGCGAGACAAGAAACAACCATTAAATACTTATTTATGTGAAAAGTCTGAAACACATTATTCTGATTGGATAGAAAACAGAACTTAATCACCAATGCGAGAGCAGGTCAAAAATAAAAATGTGACAGTAAAAACATCCTGACATAGCTCACGAATAAACCAATTTGGTGTGTTTCAGAATTAAATTTTCATTTCTATCGCTTGGTTAGTATCTCTCTGCCCATACATATGACATTCTTTCCTCCTTCCAGAAGCTAACGTTTGTCTCACTTAATGCTGTCAGATAGCCAAGCTGTTGTTGATGAGGATTAACCCAACCCTATGCTTGCTCAGATCAGTATCCTGCCATTTACTTACAGTCACCCAACACTCCTAACTTATGCCTCTAATCTATATCATTATCATCTGTCAGACATCTTTGCTCTCTCCCATGACAGAATAAATCTTTAAGTTGTTGAAGATGGTCATCATCTATTTGAACTTAGAACTTGAAATGACAAAATCATCTGATTTAAATATCAATCATTAATGAAACTCATTGCTTGTGAAGTTTTAAAAATTGTAAACAAGCTATTATTTGACGGTCAACATATCCTGAATAACAAGACGTGTTATATACCACCCACAATAAAATGGGTTTGGGTCTGGGTATATACTGGAATAGGGTTGTCAATAGACACAATTTTGTCTACACAACTTCTACAGTTTTCATGAAGCTTCCTTCATGTATATTGTAATCAACACACTCTGAATTTGTACACCTGTGATGGATATTTTGATCCAGACATTTTTATGGGAGTTGTTAACAAAAGTTAGCCAACACAATCTTGTCAACCACAACAACTCCTTGACTGATACAGTCAACAGACTTTGAAGTTGTCCATCAGAGATGAACTGAGTTCTGTGCTGTGTCCATCCGATGTTTGTTTTTGCTTTCCAAATATGCTAAACTCCCTGTTGGTGCTGAATGTATAGCAGGTAATCTCATACTATTTGAAAAAGAAACAGTTGTGTTTTTCGTTTGTTTCAATTTGATTATTCTTGTATTTTGTTGCATGGATCCTTTCAGTTCGAACAACAAATATAATTTTCAGACTCTTCTCAGCTCAGCTTTGTTGGGACATGCTTTTTGAATGTAAATAGATACCAAATGTTCTTACAAGAATAGAAGAAGGCAACAAACACTTAATATGTGATAAATTGTGGAAAAAAGAAACCTGTTTTGAGTATCTGATGTTGATTCGGATCCTGGGCATTCTTAGAAACCGGGAAAAGGACGTCTGTAAAATTTGTGACAGTTCTTCGCAAGGTAGCCTCCATTTTGATATGCGGCGCGCTAAGTCACGTGATGTAAACATCAAGAATATCAAAAAACATCTGTATTATTTTATCTTTGCTTGGATAAGTATCTTATTTTAACTAAAACTTGGTTGTAGAATACATAGAAACGGGTTGTAAACGGTTAGTAAATAAATTCAGAAAAAAAATCAGAGGAAAATTCTAAAGACGTTCCGATGCATTTAGAAGATATTCCGAATACATAAATCGGCCAATCAAAACTATTGTTACATTTCGAACACACCTACCATACAAATAGAGCGAAGTTTGAACACAACATTTGAGGGTAATTTTGTTCACTGTAAATAATTATATGTGTGACGTTATCGTTGATGAAATAATTTCCTTAATTAGAAAATGAATATGTAAAACTCAGGTATCATATGGACTTCTTTCTTTTGTGTTGATCTAAGCTTTCCTTTCCATTAGGAAATTGTTGTTTAGGTTCAATTTTGTGGTGATGGATCATGGATAACAGTGGTAAAACCAGCAGAACGATAGACACCATGAAAAACTCTAAGGTCCATAGAAATAATTAACTTATAGAGCAAAGACCAAGTTGTCTATGACATTATTCCATGAGATGTAGTTGGTTCATTGATAATAAATTAGGTAACGGATTGTTTCGTGCTAAAGGTTTAGGGGTGTTTCGTAAATTATTCCGTAAAATTACTTTTTTCCCTTTATTTTAGCTAAAGTACATTAATATCATGCTATAAAGTACTATATATAAGTAAACCTTTCTTGGTTAAAGTCTGGTCTTTGAAAAAATCAGTAGGTCTATAAGATATCGGGTTTCAACGATGCCACATCAGCAATTCAGCAATAGACATGATCTGTGGTGTGTTATTTCAGTGGTTTATGCTATTTTGACTTACTTTCATTTGCAATTTTTATCAGCTAACATCAACTGATTTGGATAATGACCTCCATTTGCAATTTTTATCGGCTAACATCAACTGATTTGACCAGGTCGGGGAAAACCACTAACTTCGTATAATACGCAAACTCGCCTTTTATACGCCAATAGGGGTATGGATTTGTTACTAAAAATAGCCAAAATCACTTGAATCTTTACTTTTTCAAATTGTTTGTCCAAGTCGCATTTATTCAGTCATGAAACATAATACAAATGCAAAAATAAAGTTTATTTGCATGTGGGAAAGTACCAAAAATAGATGCAATACTTCCGGTAAAATTACATCAAGTAGCCAACGCTTTCAGTAAACATCTTTTAGCAAATTATTATTTACCTTGTCGTAAATTAATGCGATTTTTAATAATATCTTGCAAAAGTTACTGTTAAAGCGATTTGTGTTATTTATAATTACAAATCCATACTGTAACTGGCGTATAATAGACAAGTTTGCGTATTATACGCAAGTTGTGGTTTTCCCCAACCTGATGACCTCATTGTCAATGTAAAATAAGCAGTCTGAAGTCATTCCCAAAATTGACCAATTCCCAGTCACTGGTCTAGTAGTTTGCCTCCTCTGTCAATATTGTATACACATATGTATCATTGTATGTTATTGACAAAAATATGTTATAAGTGAAGTGGAACTGGACTGGGTCGATGGTCGGCGACCAGGTAGTTCCATTTGTTAGAGCGTCTGTTCAGAGGGTCCTGTGTTGGAACCCCAGTCTGGCTGTTGCGTTCCTTTCTCTCCTGTTAGATAAGTATATTGAAAGACCAGGTTAGTACAGGATTGGGCTCCCAATCAGCCCCTACGCCCCCCACCAAATGTTTTCCCCTAAAGAATGGTCATTTTCAATACTTTTTTTTTGTATTGTTATACAACAAGTTGATATTTTTAGTCAGCTTTGGGCCAAGCTCAGAGAAGTAAACAATTAAACCACAAAGCAGTAGTCTTCCAGTTTAATTCCCGACCAAAAGCAATGCAATTAACATACATGTTACTGCATGTGAACATTTTTTTTTATTCATAGATCAGGTTTAATAAGGAAATGAATTTTTAGTAAATGTAAATATCATACTAGTTGCAGTACACATACACAAGGGATGTGTGCTATATATTGACCTATAATATATGTGTGACCAGGCAATTGTAACAAGCCCAGGCCATGTGGTAATACTGTAATCTAATAAGGTGGATACTTTAATTGACTTAAACTCAATGTTTAAGTTAATGAATATTAAAAACAACTATAGTTGAATGAAAGTCCTCACATTTAAATGTGATTCATAAAAAAAGAATTGTGTTATATATTTTCTTGAATTAATTTTAATTTCTGTGATTCACTTTTGATTTATTTCAGATATTTGAAATTGATAACATGTTCAAACTTTGCTAGTAGTAGCAGCGATCATTCAGAATGGAGGTTGAAAACAAGGAAAACCTGCAAGTGCCTGTTTTTGAAAAGGTTAGTGTTGACTGAAGCCAAGGGTTACTTTTTATCATGTCCAGGACACTTTCTTACTATTTTGTGTACATGTGGAAAGCTTTGGAAATTTGGTATTTCCAAATTTCAACTTAGTTTCAACTAACAAAATTTAACACTTTTCTGGAATACAAACACCAAAATGTGAAACATTTTTAAAGGTGATTCTGGGAACTATGATTAACATGTAATGAATAATCAGGTAAGACATTTTTTGTCAACTTTGTGTCAAATTTCACTTTTTCCTACTTTACATTTATAATCATAAATATGTAGAGTAGCTTCTTATTTTCAGACTTTTCATATATATGCAGTGCTTTTGCAACTGCATTTGAACATTTTGCAATACTGTGATTTTATTGAGGGCAAAAACATAGTTGAGAAGCTTTCCTTTTCACTGAAACTTCCCATTTACAGATCAAACAGGGGTTGGGATTCCCTACCAAGTACTGTACGGAATGTACATGTGTATGACAGAAAATGTATTCCTCAGTTTTCTATTCTCTGATCGAACGTCAAAGACTTTGGAAACTTACCAATCTTACATGAATGGGCCAGAGTTTTCTTACACACCCACAGGGAAGAGTATCGGTAACAATTCACATTTACACTAAATACTATATATACACCTGTTATGTCTAAACCAGACTGTCCGATCCAGAGTTCTCCTTCAAAGTGGCCAGATCATTTGGTGGAGACAATGACAATGTTTATAAGTCTCCACTATCCAGAACTATTTTCAAACTGTTTTAATTATGTTTTTCTAAGGGTTCAAACAGTTTGGATTGGTTTTGGTTGGATGCATACAAATAATAAATAATTGAAGTAAAGACTTGAACCATTTTGAATATGTTTCAAGGTGGCAGTTGACACTTTAGGCGCCTCTCCAGCTGTTTGTAGAACTCCACTACAGAATGTCAACAACCTGGCCGTCAACAGAAGTACCAAGAAAGCCTACTACAGTCAGGTCACACCTACACTGAAGACTCCAGGTCGCAAGGCAGCAAAGTATGGCCTTACCAACAATTATTGTATAATATAGAATTCATTACTTTTCTTTAAGAGGGTCAAACGTTTCACAGCAAGTAAACTAGCGGATATTGCAGCCCCTGACTACAGAAATTTATACTTTACCAAGATGTAACATTCGGAAACGAAAGCTACGTCTTGTGAGCAGAAATATTTATTCTTTTTAGTGCCAAATTTGAATCAAATAAACGTATTTACATTGTTTTATACAAGATATGGGAACATTTGAAAGTATAAATATACCACTCAGTCACTGACACGGTTGAAATTACCTGGGATTTTTTTTTTAAAGTCCCTGTGACAAAGAACACCAAACACCAACGCAGAATGGGATGGATACAACAGAAGATATCTCATTATTTTTTAATTTAAAAAAAACAACTGTTAACTTTCGCACTGCATGAAAATCTATTAAAACAACATCTTTTGAATAGCTTTTTCAATAGTGTTGTAAATGTATATCATTTCGAGATATTTCAAAGAATATTGTGATATAACAGATTTTGCATGACACCATGGCCCTGCTCATATATCTACATGCCAATTCGCTACATGAATTACAGCTATGAGTCTAGGATTTCACTTTATCCTTTTTTCTGTCCTACAAGATATGTCCTTTTATCTATAAGGCTTTGTCATAAATAATTGAACCAGTCATGCATTGTAAAATTAGCATCCATCAGCAATCTGTAGCATGTATATATTAAAAGGTTGCAGGATAAATAGAATTAATGATTTGCGCCTTACTATTAAAGAAAAGTAAACCAACTCTTGCTATCTTTATTTTTCATCACCTGTTCATTCCAATGATGGAGAATTCAAATAGGAGGGCGATACAATAATATATAGCTAGAGATGCTTGCCTGTTTTATAAAGTTTGATGGGAGAACCTGGCATGGAATACTTTCCAATTTAACCCTCTCACCACTGTAGACCATAATGGACTCATCCTGATGAATGTATGATAGAGTCTACTCAAGTTACTTAGGGGTGAAAGGGTTAAGAGGTAGGCTATTATTGTTAAGCTTTGATTATTTCAGAAACATTGTTGTCATCTGACTTTGCTGTTTATTTCACAGAGTTCGTCAATCCCTGCTTGTGTACCAGGACAAAGCGTATCCCGACGCAGAGGAAGTGCTCCTCAACTCTCTAGTGTGTAAGAAGGTTGATGAGGTCATCGCTAAGGCCAAACAGGTAAGTAATACACGTCTCAAAATCTACCAAATGTTGCTGTGTTTCTGATATTGAACTGACCTGTGTTTAGTGTGGGTGTTTAGTATTTTCCTTCTTAAAGTAGGAGAATTTGAAGGTTTTAATCAATTGTTTTTTTTTAGTATGACTATTATCCAATAACTCGCTCTCCTAGATTTTAGAGAAAAAAAGATTTTTTATTATTATTTCGGATTTATTTCTTAAAATTTTCTGAAAACTTCCTTAAAACCCAATAAAAATGAGTAATGCCATCAGAGGATATATAGGGAAGAAGGACACTTCTTATGCCTCAACATGGATATTTACAGGCCTTTATTATGGCCAAATATGGGCCAGTTCACCTATCCAATTTTGGCATTATTTTCCCCTATTTCAGTTAAAAATTTACCCACTTGTAACTAAAATACTACCACATGAATATCTTTCTTGGTTCCACTTTTTTTTTTTAAATTTTCCATCAGTTCCACAACTGAGTGATATATTTCATTTTCCCTGTGTTGTTGTTTATTGTCACTGCTGATATTTTAAAGTCTATAAGCGAGAAACAAAATTAAAGATGTAATCCATGCCCCCCTCTTGTACTCTCCCCCTGGATGAGGCCTGCAGCCCTCGCTGGACGGGTCATGCACCTACAGTGCATATTTTACCCTATTTCAAAAAAGGGTACTAACTTTCTATTCCTGCATTAGTACCTGCTCAATTTTTTGTCCATTTGTCTGTATTCCATTCTTCATCTACTACTACATTGCAGTTAGATGAACATTTTTCATGAACTTTTAATATCAAGGATTCTCTCTGAAAACATGATTTATGATAGGAATGATGTAATTATTAAAAGAAGAAAATAAATATCTTTGAGAAACAAATGTTTAGTGCAATGAACATTTTACCAACAGGTAAACAAAACAATTCTTACTTCTTGTTACAGCAATATGAAGACCAGATAGCAGAAAAGGAAAAGACTATTGCTAATCTCCAGGACATGGTCAAGGCAGTGGATGATACAGTGAGCTGTGGAACACAAGAAAACAAAAGCTGCGGTACTCAGGCTAACCCTATTGACAGCATCAGCCGTGGCATCCAGTTTGACCCAGTAGAAAACATCAGTTGTGGTATTCAGGCTGATCCTGTAGAAAACATCAGTTGTGGTATTCAGGCTGATCCTGTTGAAAGCAACAGTTGTGGTATTCAAGCAGATCCTGTTGAAAGCAACAGTTGTGGTATTCAAGCAGATCCTGTTGAAAGCAACAGTTGTGGTATTCAAGCAGATCCTGTTGAAAGCAACAGTTGTGGTATTCAAGCAGATCCTGTTGAAAGCAACAGTTGTGGTATTCAAGCAGATCCTGTTGAAAGCAACAGTTGTGGTATTCAAGCAGATCCTGTTGAAAGCAACAGTTGTGGTATTCAAGCAGATCCTGTTGAAAGCAACAGTTGTGGTATTCAAGCAGATCCTGTTGAAAGCAACAGTTGTGGTATTCAAGCAGATCCTGTTGAAAGCAACAGTTGTGGTATTCAAGCAGATCCTGTTGAAAGCAACAGTTGTGGTATTCAAGCAGATCCTGTTGAAAGCAACAGTTGTGGTATTCAAGCAGATCCTGTTGAAAGCAACAGTTGTGGTATTCAAGCAGATCCTGTTGAAAGCAACAGTTGTGGTATTCAAGCAGATCCTGTTGAAAGCAACAGTTGTGGTATTCAAGCAGATCCTGTTGAAAGCAACAGTTGTGGTATTCAAGCAGATCCTGTTGAAAGCAACAGTTGTGGTATTCAAGCAGATCCTGTTGAAAGCAACAGTTGTGGTATTCAAGCAGATCCTGTTGAAAGCAACAGTTGTGGTATTCAAGCAGATCCTGTTGAAAGCAACAGTTGTGGTATTCAGGCAGATCCTGTTGAAAGCAACAGTTGTGGTATTCAGGCAGATCCTATTGAAAGCAACAGTTGTGGGACTCAGTTTGACCCTATAGAAAATGTTAGTACTGGGACCCAGGTGGACGGTAACCCATGTCCCCGCTGTGAACAGGTGGACAGTGATATTTTGGAGGAGCAAGTGTCACTCTATATTGACAGAATTGTAAACAAGTGTGCAGCTGATTTGAAATCAGAACAGGTAAATGTGTAAACAATATAATATATCATATATCTAAACAGAAAGGTAATTAGACAGATAAATATAATACCTCCTAGATCATTCCCTAAATTTTTGTGCAAACTGTTTCTTTATACAGATTTCTACAGTCAAATGGTAACTTATGAGTCTGATATTTCTCAACTGATTTCATATTTACAGTATATTGATTCAAACAAAATTTATGTTACGCAGCCTTACTTGTATCAAAATTTAAATTTAGATGGTACTGCTTGTTTGTATACGAGATATTTCATTCTACAAACGTTTTTCATCCGTAGCTGTGTGTATATCACGTATTGCTAAAACAGACATAACACTAGGTGTTTAGAGACTTAGTAACTTTAAATTAAAAAATTTGAATGCAAAAAAAAGTAGTGATGTGAAATCATTTACTTTTAATAAGTTTGAAAAAAATCAACATAAATTATCTATAATAAGAAGACTCATACGTATCCATTGATTGCTTTGCTAATTTAATGAAATTGGGATTTGCTACTTTTACATCAGATTGTTGGGTTTATAAATCAAACAAGCGAGGCAGATCGGGACCACCAGTTATGGAGTGCCAACTCCCTGATACAGGAGCTACAGCTAGAATTGGGCGAGCATGCAGGGCTGAGTGAGAGTGTTGCAATGGCTGAGAGACTTCAGGTATGTCACTATTCAATAAGTCCCCATCTGGTTTTAGTCTCCCATTGATTATATGTGAATTTATAGACTTTTGATACACTGTATAAATATAAGCCAATTTTAATTTAAATACAGGTAAGTTTTAATTTCTAAGTTAATGGTGGCTGTTTGTGTGATCCCCAGGTGAAGATACAAGAGTGTGTGTCTGATAACTACAGCAAGGTGAAGGCAGCTGCCGACAGATTGACCTGTCTACAGGCCCAAACAGAACAACAGGTAAGTAACGTCTCGGCAAACACAGGACCTGTATTCGTATGCTGGTGTTTGTGCCCAAACCTGTATTCTTCGTCATAAAAATGGGGAAGGGGGGCATTGTAGTGTTGCTAATGTCTGTCAACGTCCTTTTCTATTGTACTAGGATTCATTGTCACATTTTGCCGAATTTAATGGTCTATGGTGGCCAAGTGGTCAAGGTATTAAGGCGTTTCCGGTTTTCCTCCTCCACCAAACCCTGTCTCTTCTTTAAAAGACTGTAGCTGTAAATAGGATGTAAAACACAAACAAACAAAATTTCTATTTTTTATCAAAGTTTATACAGAGGTCAAGTATGAGAATACCTTGTGTCCCAGGTTTAATGCAAAAGGTCAATGTTGCTGCTTATAGGTCAAACCCATTACTATTCTGTTAACAGATTCATTGTCATCAATTTAATGACTTGAGGGACAAAGGGGTGATGTCTTTAAGTTTATTACTATGAAAATCAGAGGACATGACTTGTCAAATACATGTCTTGCACTGCAAAAGGTCAAAGTTCAAACCATTCTAATACTGTTTGGCTCCAAAATTCTGAACAGCTCAATATTTTGTGGATGAAATTTTTCATGATTTGATGATATGTCACATCCAACTATTGTTTCTACTCCTATCATTGGTAAACGTGGGAGTTTGAATGTCAATTCATTGTCATGCTGGATGACATTGAGGCTAACAAAAAGCTGTGAAATGCTCAATATTAGTTATGAAACTCCCTAGTATAATGGGGGGAAAAGGCCAGATCATTGTTATGCTTGTCTGGACAATACTGAGCATGTTATAAGACCTGATTTAAGTCTGAAACAATATTAAATTAATATTAAGTTGTCCAAAACACCAGAAGTGGAATTCCTTTTTAACAGACACAGATGTTCAAATGCTCTAGACTTTTAGGCAACTTTTTACACAATAACCTTACAGTCCTATATTTTCTAAACTAAAAACTTATGATCTTATGAAGATTAACTTTGTTCTGTTAAAGGCTTATGAAATGAAAACAAAGATGGGGGCTAATGACTTGCAGATGAAGCGCTGTCGCCAGGAGAAGACAGAGGTGCTGGAGAAGTTCGACTGTATGGAGAGGATGTTAGAAAAGTCGAGGGAGAGCCTAGCACAGGTACCGCAAATATACTGATATGTTGGGTTATAATGTCCCGATAAGATGTTAGAGAGGTCAAGGGAAAGCCTAGCACAGGTACCGCAAATATACTGATAAGTTGGGTTATAATGACCTGATTAGATGTTAGACAGGCCAAGGGAGAGCCTTGCGCAGGTACCGCAAAAATACTGAGATGTTGGGTTATAATCTCCCGATCAGATGTTAGAGAGGTCAAGGGAGAGCCTAGCACAGGGACCGCAAAAATACTGATATGTTGGGTTATAATGTTCCGATCAGATGTTAGAGAGGTCAAGGGATAGCCTAGCACAGGTACCACAAATATACTGATATGTTGGGTTATAATGTCCCGATCAGATGTTAGAGAGGTCAAGGTATAGCCTAGCACAGGTACCACAAAAATACTGATATGTTGGGTTACAGTGTCCCGATTAGATGTTAGAGAGATCAAGGGAGAGCCTAGGGGTTATAATGTCCCGATTAGATGTTAGACAGGTCAAGGGAGAGCCATGCGCAGGTACCGCAAAAATACTGATATGTTGGGTTATGATGTCGTGATCAGATGTAAGCGAGGTCAAGGGAAAGCCTAGCACAGGTACTGCAAATATACTGATATGTTGGGTTATAATGTCCCGATCAGATGTTAGAGAGGTCAAGGGAGAGTCTAGCACAGGTACTGCAAAAATACTGATATGTTGGGTTATAATTTCCCGATAAGATGTTAGAGAGGTCAAGGGATAGCCTAGCACAGGTACCACAAAAATACTGATATGTTGGGTTACAGTGTCCCGATTAGATGTTAGAGAGATCAAGGGAGAGCCTAGGGGTTATAATGTCCCGATTAGATGTTAGACAGGTCAAGGGAGAGCCTTGCGCAGGTCCCGCAAAAATACTGATATGTTTGATTATAATGTCCTGATCAGATGTTAGAGACGTCAAGGGAGAGCCTAGCGCAGGTACCGCAAAAATACTGATATGCTGGATTATAATGTCCCGATTAGATGTTAGGATGTTAGAGAGGTCGAGGGAGAGCCTAGCACAGGTACCACAAAAATACTGATATGTTGGGTTACAGTGTCCCGATTAGATGTTAGAGAGATCAAGGGAGAGCCTAGGGGTTATAATGTCCCGATTAGATGTTAGAGATATCAAGGGAGAGCCTAGCACAGGTACCGCAAAAACACTGATATGTTGGGTTATAATGTCCTGATTAGATGTTAGACAGGTCAAGGGAGAGCCATGCGCAGGTACCGCAAAAATACTGATATGTTGGATTATAATGTCCCGATTAGATGTTAAAGAGGTCAAGGGAGAGCCTAGCACAGGTACTGCAAAAATACTGATATGTTGGGTTATAATGTTCCGATCAGATGTTAGAGAGGTCAAGGGAGAGTCTAGCACAGGTACTGCAAAAATACTGATATGTTGGGTTATAATGGCCCGATTAGATGTTAGAGACGTCAAGGGAAAGCCTAGCACAGGTACCGCAAAAATACTGATATGTTGAGTTATAATGTCCTGATCAGATGTTAGAGTTGTCAAGGGAGAGCCTAGCACAGGTACCACAAAAATACTGATATGTTGGGTTATAATGGCCCGATTAGATGTTAGAGACGTCAAGGGAAAGCCTAGCACAGGTACCGCAAGTATACTGATAAGTTGGGTTATAATGACCTGATTAGATGTTAGACAGGTCAAGGGAGAGCCATGCGCAGGTACCGCAAAAATACTGATATGTTGGGTTGTAATGTCCTGATCAGATGTTAGAGAGGTCAAGGAAGAGCCTAGCGCAGGTACCGCAAAAATACTGATATGTTGGGTTATAATGGCCCGATTAGATGTTAGAGAGGTCAAGGGAAAGCCTAGCGCAGGTACCGCAAAAATACTGATATGTTGGGTTATAATGTCCCGATTAGATGTTAGACAGGTCAAGGGAGAGCCTTGCGCAGGTACCGCAAAAATACTGATATGTTTGATTATAATGTCCTGATCAGATGTTAGAGAGGTCAAGGGAGAGCCTAGCGCAGGTACCGCAAAAATACTGATATGTTGGATTATAATGTCCCGATTAGATGTTAGAGAGATCAAGGGAGAGCCTAGCGCAGGTACCGCAAAAATACTGATATGTTGGGTTATAATGTCCCAATTAGATGTTAGAAAGGTCAAGGGAGAGCCTAGCGCAGGTACCGCATTAACTCAGGTACACATTTACTTACCTGTTTATGGAGCGAGACTAGTCTGTACCAAGGAACTTGTTACTGCCTAAGTTTGTAAAACATGTCAGAGAAAAAGAGTAATGATAGTTTTTTTGTTTTTCGACAATATAACATTGAATTTTCAGAGTGATCTGCTTCTTGTCAAGACCAGATAAATACTACAGTACATGTAGATGACAAAAGAAAAATACACTGAAACACCAGATACAGAGAGGATATTTAATGGATTGATGTTAATTACCCCGCATGTCTACATGTATGGCAGAATACTGATATTTTTCAACAGTGCAAAGCATGAAGGAAAATGTTGGTGTATTTTGCCATACCAGTGTATTGACCAATGCAAAGATGTACAAAACAATACCACTTATTCTACTGTCCCTTCATCTGCAGCTTGAACAAAAAGCTACAGCTTTGAATTGGTAAATGTTGAAAAAATACTGTTCTGATGGGTCAATATAGAACCGGTACTGGATTTTATATCATCATATATGAAGATGTAACAAGTTTTTATCACATTGATAATTTCACTGGTAAAAATGTATCAACAGATTTTGTTTCTTCATTGGTATATAATGAGGAAAAAGAAGAAATTAAAAACTTAAAATATGTTTTTAACTTTTTCAGATGGAGGCTTTGTACAAGACTACATCGGCAGAACTTACCATCACGAAAAGTCAGATTCAAGTAAACAGTAGCGATATTGTCTCAATCACGAGAGGTAAGAACACTATATTCACTTATCTCTATTTAGACTGTTTTATTATCATGATCATTGACTATTAGCATTTTCATTCTGAACAAATTGTTTTTGGCTTGAAGCCTTGATTTGTTTGTTTAAGTGTTTGGTGCTAGCTACCCATGAACATAAATCAGTATTGCCATGTTCAACAACAAAATACTATACTATCAGGTTGCTATATTTTCCAAGGGAAAGATTTGAAAATTCATCAGCCCTGGTACGAACTAGCCCCAGATGTTTGGCTAGCAGAATCATAGTATTGACTGGTTCGAAAAAGAAAATGAGAAATTGTGCTAAAAGTTATTGGGAAAATGTGATAACCAACAGTAATGAGACTTTTAAGTAGCATTTCTGTAAATCAAGAATATAGTGAGTATGACATAAATATAGGATCTTAACAAATTTAAGATACTTTTTATCACATAACTCAGAAAACTTACATTTTGACAGGTTTTAAAGCCAAAATGTAGAGGCTTAATCAAACGGAGACAGTCGTTTTGTTCCGCCATTCACAATTTAGCATGTCACATCATTGTCCATATTATGACGTCGCAAATGATTTCTGACTGGCACAGCCAAAGAAAAACGCTCCAGGGTATATTACACTAGTGACATATGTAAAAATATTACACGGGCGAATTCACTGGATAACAGGCTGATTATGTGATAAAACTATATATCTGTCTACTGTTTATCATTTGGACCCAATTTTCTGTTGATACATTGTGTTACAATATCTTTCACTTACCATTAGCCTGACAGTTTGGGAGCTGTCATCTATATCTGCATGCTCTTAATGTACACAATGACAGAATAGATGTGTAATCCTCATGTCAATCTTTTACAGCCTACGAGGACAGCCAGGCTAAATTGAGAGAAGCACAGACTCGCTACACAGTTGACAATGACAAATTGACAGTGGAGAATAAACAGTGAGTTAATGATGAAGGAGTCAACATTCTGCAGCTGGTAGACTCCTACTGCAGCCTTTGAACTCAGATATATGATCAGCAGTGATTTTTATGGTGCCCATTTATAGCTTAGATCTGACCTTCAATGCTAAACCTTTGGGTGAATTTCCATGCATTTCATACATAATTAATAATCCTTTTTCGCCCACCTCATTCAAGGGATTTTGGTAAAATTTGACAAACAATATGAATGCAGTAATAAGTTCATGATGCTAGTAGGTTATATTTTGTGTACCATTGGTATACTTAAAGATTAAAGCAATATTCAACAGCTTCACAACAACTTTGTTAACCCTTTCACCTCTAAAAAACATAATGGACTCATCCAGATTAATGCGTGGTAGAGTCTACTAAAGTTGCACAGGGGTGAAAGGGTTATGCATGTATATTTCCATGAGACAATTGTCATTTATCGAATCTGTTTTGGTTAATGATTTGGCAGAAGATATCTTATACTGATAATCAAAATGACACATATCATATTGAAATCATGTCACCTTCCATATTATCAGTTATCAAGGTAACAAAATGTACTTCCTGAACTGAAGGTCACTTAGTTTATCTATGTCCAATAGAGTTATCTTACTTGGTGAGTGGTGACCCACCTTGCAATGGGACAAATGTAACTTCCATGCAGAGAGATGGGGGGGGGGGGGGGGGGGAATCTCTGCCCAATCATAGATTCATATGACCTGGTAGTGTGGAATAGCCCACAAATATAGTTGTTAGAATATTGTAACCCTGTTGATTTAAACAAACCACATACAGAATAAATACATTTATTTATGGAAAAAGATATTTGTTTACAACATTGAAAGTTTATAGAATTGATGTTGGGTTCATGTCCAACAAAGACCTTTTCAGTACTGCATTAATTAGTTATTTTAGAATTATTTAATCTATAGTGTGACTTGCTGTCTTACAGACTGACAGAACAACTGGGACAGATGGAGGTGACACTGGGTGAGCTGCACACAGACATGGCTGGGGTACAGACAGAGCTGTCTGTCGCACAAAAAGAGGTAGCCAGTCAAGGGGAGACAATCACTAATCTCACCTGTGAGCTCCAGCAAGCCAAGGAGACTATTGCTGTACAGCAGGAGCAGAATCAAGGCCACCGGGTACTTTTTTTGTTGATTTTCATTTTACAAGGTTTTCCATGTGACATAAACTTTCGTAACAGTGTAATTTGCAGGACCCGGAGTGCATGTGTCCAGGTAATTTGAGGGAGTTATGTACATGTAAAAAAAATCACTTAAAGTATTAGTATCTATTGATCATGTAAGTTTATGCAGTAATATGTATAGGTTACCGTAAACATTGCATGTATATGTTTACAAATATTGATGCACTATTAATTTGTAATATGTAAATATGTAAAATTTATTTGATACAGTCAAGTGCATATATGGATTTATCATTTTAGAACAAAAACGAAGTTCTCCTAGGAAGTATAGAGGAGAAGAATGGCGATATTGCTAACCTACGACAGGAGTTGCGTAACATGAAATCAAAGCTTCAGACTACGGAGAAACAGTCGGAATCAGATCTGGAGCTAATGAAACAGCGATGTGACAGCCTGCTGACAGAACAAGCCCTAACAAGGCAGGCCCATATCAACCAGGTTCGTGACCTGGAGCAGGAGCTGGAGCGCCGCGACTGTAGTGGACAGCTGCGCACTGCACAGGGCGTCATACAGGAACTCCAGACCGAACTCTCCGAGTACACAGAGCTTGCAGACAGTCTGAAACTAGCCGAAATTCTACAGGTAAATACTTATTTGATATATAACATATATATGTGGTTTGCCATATTTCCAACAGTTTATATGAATTTACACAACTTTTATCTCTAATGCTCATGAAGTTCCTGACAATCTTATCAAATTTCAAATGTTGATTTCCTATTGGACAACAGTTGTGCAATTTCATTTTGAGTTTGATTGAAAAAAGAACATGGCCACCAGGAAGCCATCTTTGATTGTGATTGTTCAAGTTTATCATCGTTACTACTCAAAAAGTGCTTGAAGGATCTTGAAGGATCTTTCTCAAATTTTATGAGTTGGGCCCCGTCCATAGATTTGCATGTTGCATTTTGAGACTGATGGGAAAATCAAGATTGTAATCTGGGGCAATATTTGATTTGGACAGTTCAAGTTTGTTATTGCTATTTCTCTGGAAGTAAATGATGCCCTAACTTTTAAAGGATACTCTCAAACCAAGCTGTATGAAGTTTTAAACAGAAGGTACTACAAGACGCATTTACTGTTGACAAGACTATTTATGCAACAGCTAAGAAAAGAGAAATCAATCTTAGATAAATAAAACTAATGAAGATCTTATGATTGTGGGTGCCAAGATCCCTCTTGTAATGCCCCTGTCATTATTGNTCCATCCCATTGTGTCCCTATTCTTTTCCTATTTTGATTGAATGCAAAACTCAAGCATGTGTGTACCTTAACTATTACTATTTATAGACATTTATCAAACAATGACACAATTTACATGAAAATGTCTTTAATACAAACATTTTATAGTTTTTCAAAATGAAATTGTAGTGTTCATCAACCTATGTATAAAACTGAGCTCTTTTTGGAAACTTCCATACAGGCTAAGGTACAGGAGGTGGTTAATGAGAATTTCCTGAAGGTAAAGACAGCTGCTGACAAACTACTGACCCTGAAGAGGAACATAGACAAAGAGGTAACAGACCGTTTGTCTCTTTACTGTATCAAGCCTCACATAAAAGACTAAGAATTAGTCTTTGATGTCTTTAGTTAAGATGCACAGTGTTCATAATTATCATCTCAAAGATAATGGCTATTCTATTAAAGCATATATACTACCCAGGGAAATCAGGTTTTCCTGAAGGTATAACACCTGTTTTTTAGGGTAGGAAATTGTGGGAGAAAAATCATCAATCACTCCTGTGTGATGCAGTCAAAAATCTTGGCCCCCATGCAGGGGTAAAGTTCAGCACAGTGCAAAGACATGTGCGAATCTTCAAAAATCTTTCCCTCTGTCTACATCTCACAAGTGAAAGATTCTATTGCTGTAATTAGCTTACTTTGACTTTCACCTAAAGGTAAAAGGTAAAAAAAAATGTGTTGCTTTTGTACTGTTCTTTCTGGTTCCTTCTTTTCTAATAAAAGATTGTCCAGACCATAAATCTGAACCTATTAAAGATATTCTTAATACTGAAATTTGACATATACATGCCTCACCCAGAGGTGGTGGGCAGTGTACCATGAATAGGTCACTGTGACATTAAATCTCAAGAGCAAAGGTCAAATAAATGCTTAATTTCCCGTAAAAAAATATTTGCTCCCTACATAATTATTTTATGACTGTCAAAATGAACAAGACCTATTATGATATGGCATTTTTTCATCTGTGCATGAAAAGATTTGTCCTGAGATCTCCTGCCTTTCTCGTTTGTTTAACAATTTCCTTGAAACTTTGTGGACTTAATTGTATTGTGTTATTTATATGTATTTTGCAAATCAGAATATGGATTCAACAATTTTTGAAAGATTTGTTTTCCTTTGTATATTTTGCATTAAAATAACTGTAAACTTCAATCTTCATTTATCAAAATTGATTTTCTCTCTTTGATACTGACAGAAGTCTGAGGTGACCGACCAGAAGAAGGTGAATGAGGAAGAAAAAGTTGACTTTGAGGGCATGAAGTCTGCACTAGAATCATCCCAGCAAAGCATGGCACTTGTAAGCATAAGGGATAAACCTACCAACACATGAACGATCAATGAGGTCTGTAGATAACTGCTGAATCATATCAGTTTAGAGTCGAGACACTGGTCATTTGCATTCTTACCTTGACAAAGAAAACAGATGTTTTCGAAAGCTCACAAAATAATTTTTCAATTCCTATTTGTGTTCAAAAAAAACTTAGCCTTTATCATTCATACCATACTGATGAATCTTATTCCGCAAATCAATTGTACTTAACCATTGTATAGTTTTTGGATTGTTGAGGGATTGCATCTTTTAAATGGCACATTAATATTCTAAAACAAATCAGTAAGATGTTGTGTGACTGGTGTTTTGTTTTTACAGTTTGAGACACTGTACAACAGTACATCTGTTGACCTCCTCAACGCCGCTAGCCAGGTCCAGATTCTCAATGGCCAACTTGATACCACCAAGAGCGGTAAGCACTGGTTTCTATATTTCATCATTATTAGAGTAGTGTGTTAAACACCTTGAACTGACAGTTAAAGTTTGGTGAAGAAACAGTTATATGTGCTGCAGAATCGTGAAGGTACAGTTTGTGTTGCTTGTGAATGTACAATTATTTGTGCTGATGAAGTATAGTGAATTTTTGCCCTGATGGTGAATGTATGATTATTTGTGCTGACGAAGTATAGTGAATTTTTGCCCTGATGGTGAATGTATGATTATTTGTGCTGACAAAGTATAGTGAAGTTTTGTGCTGATGGTGAATGTATGATTATTTGTGCTGACAAAGTATAGTGAAGTTTTGTGCTGATGGTGAATGTATGATTATTTGTGCTGACGAAGTATAATGAAGTTTTGTGCTGATGGTGAATGTATGATTATTTGTGCTGACAATGTATGGTGAAGTTACAGTTTGTGCTGTTTGTGAATGTATAATTTGTAATGTCTTTCTTGGCTTTAATTATATAATCCCTTTCTCTGGACCCATACAGCTTACGAGGCCTGTCAGCTATGTAGGGAAGAACTGGTAAACAAACAGAAGGAAAGTGAAGAAAATGAGAGAGCGACATCTCTCGAAATTCAAGGATTACAAGTCTCTCTCAAGGCCAAGGAGGAGGAGCTAGAGAGTGTTAAAAAACGGTAGGTAATTCACATGAACCGAGGAGAGGGAAAGTCTGTTTCTTGGTAAAGTTGTCACCGGTACCTTGTTTTAGTGACTTTCATGTAGCTGAGAAGGACTGATTTAAGTTCAGTTATCCTCATACACATATAAAACTATATTGCAGAGTTTATTTTCCTAGGTAAAATTTTCACTGGTACCATGTTTTAGTGACATTCATGTAACTGCAGTAGTGAAGGACTAAGTTTAAGTTCACTTGTCCTCATACCCATATAAAGCTATATTGCAGAGTTTATTTCCATAGGTGAAGTGATCACTAGAACCGTGATTTAGCAATTTTCCTGAAGGACTTATCTAAGTTCAGTAATCCTCACGCACTTACAGAACTGTATTACGGAGTGTATGGACCCTCAGTTCTGTCTTTGTTCTTGCAGTTTATCACATGCTGTAGCACAACAAAAGGAGAGAGAACAACTAATGCAGCGTGAGAATGATCAGTAAGTCATTTGGTGGGGCTAAATTTAAACACTGACAACACTGGACATTTCTGCTTATTTTAAATGTATCATTCAATGTCAACTGATTTAAAAAACACCAGGTACACTGAATACATGAAAATGGTTAATTATTAATTTTGCTTCCTTGCATATCATTCAATGTCAACTGATTAAAAAAACAACAACAGGTACACTGAATACATGAAAACATAGTTAGATAATGGTTAATTATTAAATTTGCCTCCTTGCATATCTTTTTTGGGGTGACTGACTTGTTCATAAACTGCCATATGGTCCTTGGCCCTATCTAATGATTTTTATTCATCCCAGAAAGTTTTGACACAAACTTCAGGCTAAGAGATTTGCATAATCTTGTCTGATATTATACTGCCTTGTGTTTCTAGCTTAAGCTTAGCTGTGGAAAACCTACAGCGGACACTCGACTCGCGGGATGTTGATGTGGATCAAGTGGAGAAGGAGTTGTACGAGATCCGCGAGTACATGACCGAGAAGCTGGAATCCATGGACAGACTCAAAGTAGAGGCAGAGACAACAAACATGGAGTTCCAAAAGTGTCGGAAAGAAAATATGCAACTCAGGGTAATTAGGGGTTTTAAGTTAGAATAATATAGCTAGACAGTAGTGGTAGATATATATAGCTTGTTGATCAGGCTTATATAGTTTACAGATATGAATAAACTTAAGGTAGATAAAATTCACAGCTCTGGATAAGGTAAGAGTCATACCTCTGAGTAATTTTAAAGAAAGGTAAAATTACTGTTCAAGGTAGATGTAAGACAAAAACTTCAGGTATATATTTTACTTAAAGATTTGAAGCTCCAGTAAATATATATCACTTGAAGCTCAGATCTCAAGGTAGAGGTACTCCACTTGAATCCCAAACAGAAAAAAAACACTGTTCTGGGTAGATACATGCAAATCAAGTTTGATGTTAAGCTCAAAGCTCAAATTGAGGGTGCACACAAGACCTGGGCCCACTTGTATAAAACATCTCAACTCTTGAAATTTCCTCAAGTCAAAGATTTCTAATAGACAATACATTGCTTGAGATTTTCCTTAACTTTGAGATGTTTTATACAAGTGGGCCCTGAAACTCAATTCTCTGGTTAGATTCTCAAGCTGTAACTCAGCTAGTACCTGCATACCAAGTATATAGTAACACAACTATATAATGAATGAATTATTTCTAATTATCATTCCAGGATAATTGTGCCGTGATGCAGTGTTCAATCCAAGAGCTAAAGTAAGTATATCGTTTCAGTGATTTATTTACCCCATTTTTAGTGCCGACTTTAGGTACTTTCCCCAAGTGAAGTTTTCCCAATTCTGACCCAATAGTTTCCCAATCACTTGCATAAAAAAAGTATGCCTTCTTGTAAACTTGTACAAGATTGTTAAATTTTTTGACAAACAGAAGATTATCTTGGGGCATTGAATTCAAGTTTTGTTTACACATGAGGTTGTTTGAGCGCGATCAAACAATATTTCCCTAATATCATACATTGGTAACATGTCATATAATTCCCAATTCATTGTGTTCGCGCAGTAAAATTCCCAATAAAAAAAGGCACCAGCCCTTTAGAGAGAAAAAAAGTAAAAAAAATCACTGCATCTGCCTTTTTTTGTCGTCTGGTTAGTAGAGTCTTTGTGACTTACCATCATTGTATATTAGTAATTATTACTGTTTGTAGTTCATGTGACTGTGGTGTATGATGCATAACATGGAGATGTTTGTTACCACAAGTACAGTGATAGAGGGATTCTGAACCATTAGCCTAGGTGTCTGAGACTGAAGTTTAGCAAGTCCTTGTGGGTTCTTTATATAGTTAGTCTGATGTATGTTTGATGTCAGGGAGACGATACAAAGCAGTGCATACGAGTTGTCGGAGACGAAGAGCCATGCCTCGCGGATGTTACACCAACAGGGTGAGGAGCTGAGAGAATGTAGCCAATCTGCCTCAGCCCTCACCACTAAGATGGACACTCTGCTACAGGAACTCAGCCGGAAGATCGGCATCTCTACCCAACAGGTTTGTAAAGGGATCAAAATGTTATGTTTTGTAATGGAAAGGCTGTAGAATGTACATATATGGAGTTCAATGTTTTCATGGAGGGTACAATATTCATAAAGGAGTAGAAAAGTCCTCATAAATACACTCAAAATTATATTTAATATGTTTTTACCAAAATTTAATTTATTACTCGGGAGGTATTGAGAAATGTGTCTAAGTTACATTATATGTCTGATAGGCATAATCAGTCAAAGGTCTAGGTCACTGTTGCTAAAAATAGAAATTTTACTGCCACACTCCTTGTTATCAAGATATGTTTGCCTTGATGAAAGTTGTATGTCAAAGGTCTAGGTCACTGTTACTAAAAATAGATTTTTTACTGCCACACTCCTTGTTATCAAGATATGTTTGCCTTGATGAAAGTTGTATGTCAAAGGTCAAGGTCACTGCTACTTAAAACCAAATTTCACTGTCACACTATTTAGTTGTAATCTATTACACTATCTAATACATGTTCTTGCGGTCATGTAATATAGGTGAAGTGATGGAATGTCTCTGCAGATACAGGGATCCAGTGGTCGATGGTTCTACCTCCATGATAGACTTTATTTATGTTTTATATGTTTTGGACCTACAGTGTATTTTCTTTCATAATTTTGTGATACATCTATCAAGTGTATGTGTCATCAATTCAATAAAATCTACATTGTGTAATGTATATATTTCATAAATGCAACATTATCATTGGGTTTGCCTTGAAAAAGCTATGCAGTGAAAATCTGTTATTTATGAAAGAATATATGGAGTCGCTAGAGTATTCAGGCAAATTTCCATCAATTTTAGATGCACATGTGTCACACAGCACAGCGAGGGGATTTGTAACACTAGTTATGCCTTGTTGTTATTTTGGTCGGTATTGTAGGATGTCCCGTCAAATGAAGACCTTTGTGATGAGAATCCAACAGTAGAGGAAGTGAGTGAGAACGTCAGAAAACAACGGCCATGTAAAGCCAGGAAGTCGTTCTTGTCGGAGATATTCCTAGCAGCCTCCGAACAGCACACTGCACTGGCGTCACCTCTCAGGGAGGAGAGCAGTATGGGTAATGGGTCCGACGAGGTCGGTGAGGACAGTCCTCAGTCTGACCAAAACATATCGGGGATATACCCACTACAGAGCAGCACTGAAGCTAGTCCTGCCACCATCAGCAGGAGCAAGTTAGGCTTCTCAAGTTCAAGTGCATTCGCACCAGTCAGGACTGGAAAGAGTTTAATAGTCCCTCAGTCAGGTCCCTTAGAAACTAATGGCGATGAATCTGTGTCGCCTTCAGACAATGTCAGTGGTTCAGAGCAAGTGAGTAATGATGATGGGGATAAACAAGAGGAAGTCTCTCAGGAAGAACGGCAGGAGAAGGAAACACTTGCACAACAGATCAACACCATCAATGAGTATTTTATTGAGATCATCCGTCTTGGGAACATAGTGGAAAAGGCATCACGGTTGTCTATTGATGAAGTCAATGCGGACAAGTAAGTGACTAACATCTAGCCTACACTGCTGCAGGCATTGTCGTTAAAACTAGATGGGGGAAAAACTCATTACATTTTTTCATTAAATTAAAATTAAAATTTCATTAAATTTTGCATTTAAATATCATTAAATTGTGCATTATTATGCATATGAAATCCCTCTTAAAACGTAATGGCAATGTTTTATGTAGATTATAAAAGTACTGAAAAAATCATTTATTCATTATGTCTCCCCTTAGAATGAAAGGAGACATGCTGTATAAGTACTGGTTCTTCTGGTTCTGGTTCTTCTTATATGATCGTTAAAGATACCTTGATGAAACAATGTGCAGTATACCTGCATCACCCATAGACAATGTGCAGTGCACTGTCATTAGGTCAATGTGACCTTTACCCAAAGGTTAAAGGTCAAATATGTGCTAATTTTTCATAAATCGTTAAAGATATCTTGATGAAACTTTCAGTATAACTGCATCACCTACAGTTGATGTGCAGTGCACTGTTATTAGGTCATTTTGACCTTGTTCCCAAGGTCAAAGGTCAAATATGTGCTATTTTTTTAGGAACATCCTGTCCAGGATGGAACTTTTAAAACGTTAAAGATATCTTAATGAAATATACCTGTATCACCTACATACATGTATGTGCAATGCAGTTTCATTAGATCACTGTGGCCTTTACCTCAAGGTCAAAGGTAAACAAGTCTGATTGTTTCAGACATTTAAAGGTGTCTGCCAAGGTGATGCCAACGTTCCCTCACTGTCTCTAATTTTGCTTAAACTTAGTATGTAAGTGTATGGTGGCTTTGTTATCTATCCAAGCATTATTAGCGACTATGGGGTCAGTTTTAAGGACTTCAGGAATGGTCCCCATTACAATAAGAACTTGTTCATATATATGGACTTTATAAATTTGCAGTAGGCAGTTCCTCTAATAATAAGGTCAAATAAGTGTTAAGTTAAAGATGTCTTGATAAAACTTATAGTATATCTGCATCACCCACAGACGATGTACGGTGCACTGCCGTTAGGTCACTGTGACCTTGACCTCGAGGTCAAATAAGTGCAAAGTTTTCAGGAATATCTTGTCTGGGCCATAAATTTTAAACCACTCAAGGGTAGACATACATTTTTGTTCACAAAAACAAATCTCTAGTTATTACCAGGACTAGTGCAAATTTGATGACCTTTTTTTATCAATGGTCATTAAATTAGAATTAAACATGCATTAATTTATTAAAAATTATGTGCAAAACTTAGCAACTAAAGCATTGATTTTGTTTCATTAAACAACACTATTACACTAATTACAGATGTCTCCAATGCTCGATTTTTACCAAAAATCTGTAATTTTTGTACTTCTGTAAAATGTGTAGGTGTAATTTTTAGGTATACATTTTGGAAAAATTGAAATTTTGATGGAGAAAAAAAAGGAGCACCAAAATTGTGTTTTTGATCCTAAGTCAATTTTTTATCAAATTTTACCTTTTAAATGTAGAAACATAACCTGTAATAAAAACTTATAAATGAAATAATAATCATTAAAAAAACTTATGTGTTTCATTATCTAGGGAATAGATCTGTCTTTCTTGTTGATGTTGGGCTTGTGGCTCAATATCACAAAATGTTACAGGTATTTGAAAAAAAATACAGATCACAGATGGTGCATATAATAAGGCCCAGATGCATGAAAAAAAAACAGTTAATGCAATCATCATAAAACAGTCTTTTAATATTTGTGAAAGAGAATTCAAAACAAATCATTAGTTACACAATGAAATCTGACAACCCTAAAAACACTAATTTCTGTATATAATTAAAATTTGTTTATTGTATATTTAAGTGAGGAATTGAGACAACACATTCAGAAGCTTCAGTTTGTGGAACAGGAAGTTGTGAGGAAAGAAAAAGAAATTGTACAACAGAGGGAGGCGATCGTAACACTGGAACAGCGCCTAGAAAATATGGCTGAGAACCTAGAACGGTTTTCTGATCAGGAATCACTCATACTGGTAAGCTTGTGATCCCGCAATACTGTCGTCAAATTACAGGAAGTAACACCAATTAGGAACATCAGTCATTGTCTGAGCCCTACATATTTATATATATATAGAAAATCTGAATCTTGAGTATTTTATGCAATATTAAGGATCCCGGTACCACTACTACAAACTAACCTGGGGCCTGTTCGTTTATGTCTGTGTTTAAATGTAACATAAAGATTTTCAGGTATAAATCCTGATGGACCTGCAAATGTTTATGCATGCCTTGCAAGGTTTTGTCATGGCTCATCTGAAAGCAGCATCAGATCACTAGGTCCGACTTTTTTTCATAAACAAAAAACTGTTTGTATCGCGATAAACAAAAGTGGTCTTAGTGTTTGAAATATGTTTTTTCTGGAATAACTATAGCTTTGATAAATCATAACTTAAAAAGAAAGCATACCTTGCGGGTCTATTAATGGGAAATAATAAAGATGAAATAAACAAGCTATAAACAACAAAAGTGTTCTGACTGTTAAAAGAAATCAGTGGGGCTAGCCCTGGACTTCAGATTGATATACTGTCGCTCTAACCACTGAGCTACCTTGTCTTGGCCCAACTGTGCTACGTACAGCGATATCAAAACGAAAGTTAAGGGGAGATTAGTAGTCAGATTACTGTTTATAGGAAAAACTATAACGCAGCGGGACTGGGATCCTTAACCCTTTCACCACTGTAGACCATAATGGACTCATCCAGATCAATGCATTGTAGAGTCTACTAAAGTGAAAGGGGTGAAAGGGTGAAAATAGAAATATCAAGATTACACTTAAAGACACTTCATCCCATAGAGAAAGGTTTAATTGTTTTAAAACCTGATGAACAATGGAATTGTGTTGATATGAAAGCTGATAATTGACACAGGTTTTAGGAGAAATCGGATAGAATGCCGCAATGATCAAAGAAGATGACATGATTATCAGAAATAAATTGACTAACAGTATAGCGTCCTCTAGTCCCAAGCTGACATTGGTGCTTCACTTGATAAACACGATAGTCTTTAGAAAAAATGAACATGTACTGCTTTTACTGGGTACATGTTGTAAGCTACAACATACAATTCAGATCTAGTGGATGTTATATGTACACAGAGTCTTATATAAAGGAAACCTTTTTGTGTCACCACCTGATTTTCTGATCCAAAATTTGTGTCGCCAAATTTTTCATCCATAACCCTTTATACATTCGGAGACAAAAGTTCACTGAGATTATTTCAAACACGGACATCAGTTAAAAAAAATGATATTGGTAAGCACGTTAATATTATGTGCATAACTCAGAAACCCACTTCTCATTAAGTGATGTTTTATTTTTAAAAAAAAGAAAAGAAATAGTTTAAGATCACTATATCTGATTGTAGTATCTGTGTATATATCTACTAGTCAAAGGTATTATGCCTATAATTTTGAATTTGACTTTATATTTGAACTAAATTACATTTTAACATTTTTGAGAGATATTTAATCCATTGTTAGAAAACTACTTCAAGCCTTCAGTACTAGAGATCTCTTACTGTTACAGACCCAGAAGTCGGAGCTGTCAGAACTGCGGTCCCGGTTGCGGACACTGGAAGGTGAGAAGAAGGTATTCAGTAACCAGGTGAAGGAGGCAGTGGGCAGGATAAAGATGTTAGAGAGCTCTCAGGGAGTGGACAGCTCAGCATCGTCAAGTGTTGCTGAGGTCTTCAGTCTTAAAATGAAGGTGAGACCACTATACCTCCTGTCAGAATTTATTGTTTCATTCTCTGAATCATAAAAACATAATCTGATGTGTCATATTGTAAAATTTCTGGATAATGATATTGCTTTGACAGATAGAGTTGAAGGACGGATATTCTTGTGATTTAATCTTACTTCAGTACTTACAGTAAATATGGCAATATATGGAATTCCTTATACCAGTAATTAATTGCCCTGAATTATAAAATAAAAAAACACTTAGCTCATGTTTTGAATCCTTTTTGTTTGGCAACTATTGAATGTATATGATAAACCTGTGGTTGTATTGTTCTTCTAGATTCAGAAACTCAGAGACCAGTTATTAAAGAAGGACGAATACTATGAAGAACTTGGCAACAAAGCCTCACGAAGGGTCAGTATCTTTGTAGTGTATAAGTTAGGTAGTGTATAAGTTAGTTAGTGTATAAGTTTACAGGCTTGAGTTTCCTTGGGCCGATCCACCTCAAACTTCATGCAGTGCTTCCTTACCAAAGGTGCTTGCTTGGGATTGCTTTTCAGGTCCGAAGGTCAAAGGTCAAGGTCACTGTTACTATAAATAGAAAATCTGTTTTCGTACGATAACTTGAGTTTCCTTGGGCCGATCAAACTCAAACTTCATGCAGTGCTTCCTTACCAAAAGTGCTTGCTTGGGATTGCTTAAAACATAATCTATGATTATTGCTTACTTTTAACATTATTTCTTGAAATGAAAAGTGTATCTTTTTCTTCGTAACCTCCCAGCTTCCTGTGCAGGCGACACATCCACTTCCGTGGAATTCTTGTGTTAATTTTTACAGAAAGATTAGTCGCGCTATTTAATGGATTGAATAGAAAATTTGTTGTCAAGGCTAGGGTAGCAGGTACATTGTATTGACAACTGTTCAATACTGCCAAAGGTATACTTATTAATTAATCATAATGTAATCATTTGCTGCTATAAGACCTCCTTTTCTTGAAGACACAACTATTTTACCAGGTAAGTGCTTGACAAATATGCATTCCATTTCATATAATGGTACAAATTTGAGTAGAATAAATTTGTGTTTGGGAACCTGAATTACTCATACAATATGTTGGTATTAAACATGATTTTATGACTATGATCTGTGCGGTCCAAATTTTTTTCATACTTGATTTGATATGTTACAGTTAAAGGTGTTGGAAGAGAACTGGAGACGGGCGGAAGCCGAAGTGTACAGATTTGATGAGTTGATGGAGATTGTAGGACAGACACTGACAAAACGTGAGGATCTTGTCTCGCAGCATCAGGAGTTAAAACATCTCCAGAAGTTGATACGGGGTCAGAAAAGTCTGCCGTCTGAGAAGGACTCGGCCTCCGCCCCTCTCAAGTCAATTAAGACTGCCAGGTGGTGATCAGCAGTACATCCACACAGACTTTACATAGATCCAATTTTTGTGTTATCAAATGTTCTTCTAATCTTTAATACCTTGGTTCACAGTCCTATTTCCTATATCCTATATTAGACAGACAAAAGTCTTCTCCCAGTGTATGTAGTTTAAATCTAGTATCAAGATGATTTAGGGGATTTAAAAGTAATCCTATTTACACTGTGATACAAGGAAATCTGAAAATGGTCTTATGCTGTAATAAAGGACCATTGATAGGATCAGTATGTGACGTGTACATCAATAAAAAATCAACATTATGATATTATATATGGCAGCATTTTATAGGTAGAATTCTAACTTTTTCTGTGACACGCTATGTTTATTATGCATATGTCATGTAACTTGAAGTCAGATTGCATTTTAATGTTTTACATTTCTTGTTCTATGTCAAATTCAGTTTTTACAAATATGTTAAATTTTAAACTTTTTTAAAGTTTAAAACTTTTTTTTAACAAAATAAGATGTTAATGAAAAAGTTCTATGGTCTTAAAACTGGTCCAGAATTCACTGTAGGGAGGGATAGCACAGGAGACACTTTTCAGAGGCCCTACCACCCATCAAACATTAAAACTTATTCAATATATAATATAGAATGGTCGACATAACATACGTCCCTTCAACCCTGTGATTCGATCAGTTATGATATAAACTTTTATCATTTCAATTAGATGGATTATTTTTGTGAATGCCTGAACTGTCATGATTTATAAAAAAAAGTCAATGTTGACGGTAATTTGATAAAAAAAAAAAAAACTTACAGCGGTATAATAAAACTTGTATAAAATGGAGATTGTAAACTTATCCCAATTATCAAGTGACATTTACACAAATCATCCACACCATGAATGAGCTACTTTAATAATTCTTAAATGAGAAACAGTTTCACTGATCATCATGTGATCTTTTATTAAATGTTCTTGGTGGAACCTTACAATCAAGAGTGTCAAAACATACATGATTTGGAAATGCATCAAAAGACATTAATTTTGCAGATTGTTATATTTGAATTTCCATTAAGCAGTGGATATTTTCTGTATAGGTTACAAATGTATAAGCTATTGTGGGGGTTGACATTGGTTACCTTTGATTAATGTTTCTGATTCTGTAAGACATGTAGTCTGTATTCTGACCTAGAGGAGTGTCACAGATCCTTTTGTTCTATCATTAGTAGTAGATGGACTGATGTGTTTTGTTGTGTATAATTTATGCGTATATTATATGTTACCTCTTTAATTTTATTATTACAACATGTATTTTTAAATTTGAAATAAATGTTTGATTTTTTTTTTTATCATTTTGTTATATTTGTTTAACAGCTGTTCTGAGGTCAATATATTAAATATTGTTAATGTTTAGAAAGGCAGACTGATTCAGTATTAAACCCGAAGCAAAACTGAAACCATCAATAAATACATGTAATATTCTATTTCATTTGTTAGAATTTGATATTAATACTAGAATTTTTTGGGAATAAAATATTAAAAAAAATACAGTAAAAGGAACAGAAGTCTTTCTGGAAGAACCATATTTATTTTGCAAAATGAACAGTGCCTGGAAATTAGCCCACCCATCCTTTTCAGGGGCCTCAAATACGTTTTCTTATAGGATATGTATTTCTGTAATAAACCTGTATCCCTAACTTTTATCCTACGTTTCATAGTGGGAATGTTGCAGGTTTATTGAGTACGATAACATTCAATTTTCTAATTACATATAACCCTTTCTGTTTAAAATGCTTCAGTTGAGTATTATAAATATGCTAATTTATTTATGATTCTGATATTACTGTAAAAAGAAAAAATGTCTATTAGGCTATGTTCCCTCCTTAATATAAGTGTTCGTCTTTTTTTCTTTTCTTTTTTTTTTACTAAAAGCATGTATCTGTCATTGACTCAATCACATGGTCAACAGTGTTTCACTTTTTGCTATGTTTCAAAGTTGTAAGACATATAAATGATTATCACCCCTCCACAGCATTTCATAAAGAGTCATGTCTTTGTATTTAAAAAAACAGTTTTATATGGATTCATTTACCTGGTAAGCTAGGTATATTTAGAGCTTTTTATGGGAATTTTCTTCTGGCTTGCTGTCTTTCAATTTCGCCTCTTCTGTTAAATCATAGAATGTGAATATATTTTTTAGGGAGTTGGAGCATTTTGAAATAATACTTTTATGTAGATTACAAAATATAACCGGGAATGCAGTGCCCCCCCCCCCCACTTATAATGAAAAGGACAAGGACCCAGGATATTTAATCCCTCTTGTTGTGGAGATGGTTTTATGAATAAGGAAAATTATAATTGATAGGAATATATTCCCCCTTACAGAAAAAGGGTAGTTCCTCCCAATTAAAACTCAGAATAAACCCCTAGTTACACAGGTTAATTGTTTTATTAAAAAAGATATGAAAACTATGGAGAGTTTAAAGATAATGGGGGTATTTCCAATTAAAGTTCTACTTACTTCTTTGAGACTTTTTCTTTGATCAGTATGTCTTGTTCTATGCTGTATATTTCTGTTGTACATGAGTACAGATGTACAGTGTCAAATTTGGTGAATTACTTCCTTACTCATAAATCGTTTTGCACCCCAAAAATGTATTGGTTGGCTTTCAAGTCCCATTAATGAAAACAAAATGTAAATGCTTTTCTAGTGCTATTGAAAGTTAAACAAAGATTGTACTTCATGCATTATTAATGTATAGGCCAAAATCTTAACTCAATTAAAAATTTGAATTAAAGAAATTGAACAGAAACCAGTAAAAAAAAAAAAAGAGTGTTAACAATTGGACAACAGAAACTGAGGAGAGGCCAGAACAACAGGCCTGCTGACACAATATTAGACAACAGGAACTGACAGGCCTGCTGACACAATATTAGACAACAGGAACTGAGGAGAGGCCAGAACAACAGGCCTGCTGACACAATATTAGACAACAGGAACTGAGGAGAGGCCAGAACAACAGGCCTGCTGACACAATATTAGACAACAGGAACTGAGGAGAGGCCAGAACAACAGGCCTGCTGACACAATATTAGACAACAGGAACTGAGGAGAGGCCAGAACAACAGGCCTGCTGACACAATATTAGACAACAGGAACTGAGGAGAGGCCAGAACAACAGGCCTGCTGACACAATATTAGACAACAGGAACTGAGGAGAGGCCAGAACAACAGGCCTGCTGACACAATATTAGACAACAGGAACTGAGGAGAGGCCAGAACAACAGGCCTGCTGACACAATATTAGACAACAGGAACTGAGGAGAGGCCAGAACAACAGGCCTGCTGACACAATATTAGACAACAGGAACTGAGGAGAGGCCAGAACAACAGGCCTGCTGACACAATATTAGACAACAGGAACTGAGGAGAGGCCAGAACAACAGGCCTGCTGACACAATATTAGACAACAGGAACTGAGGAGAGGCCAGAACAACAGGCCTGCTGACACAATATTAGACAACAGGAACTGAGGAGAGGCCAGAACAACAGGCCTGCTGACACAATATTAGACAACAGGAACTGAGGAGAGGCCAGAACAACAGGCCTGCTGACACAATATTAGACAACAGGAACTGAGGAGAGGCCAGAACAACAGGCCTGCTGACACAATATTAGACAACAGGAACTGAGGAGAGGCCAGAACAACAGGCCTGCTGACACAATATTAGACAACAGGAACTGAGGAGAGGCCAGAACAACAGGCCTGCTGACACAATATTAGACAACAGGAACTGAGGAGAGGCCAGAACAACAGGCCTGCTGACACAATATTAGACAACAGGAACTGAGGAGAGGCCAGAACAACAGGCCTGCTGACACAATATTAGACAACAGGAACTGAGGAGAGGCCAGAACAACAGGCCTGCTGACACAATATTAGACAACAGGAACTGAGGAGAGGCCAGAACAACAGGCCTGCTGACACAATATTAGACAACAGGAACTGAGGAGAGGCCAGAACAACAGGCCTGCTGACACAATATTAGACAACAGGAACTGAGGAGAGGCCAGAACAACAGGCCTGCTGACACAATATTAGACAACAGGAACTGAGGAGAGGCCAGAACAACAGGCCTGCTGACACAATATTAGACAACAGGAACTGAGGAGAGGCCAGAACAACAGGCCTGCTGACACAATATTAGACAACAGGAACTGAGGAGAGGCCAGAACAACAGGCCTGCTGACACAATATTAGACAACAGGAACTGAGGAGAGGCCAGAACAACAGGCCTGCTGACACAATATTAGACAACAGGAACTGAGGAGAGGCCAGAACAACAGGCCTGCTGACACAATATTAGACAACAGGAACTGAGGAGAGGCCAGAACAACAGGCCTGCTGACACAATATTAGACAACAGGAACTGAGGAGAGGCCAGAACAACAGGCCTGCTGACACAATATTAGACAACAGGAACTGAGGAGAGGCCAGAACAACAGGCCTGCTGACACAATATTAGACAACAGGAACTGAGGAGAGGCCAGAACAACAGGCCTGCTGACACAATATTAGACAACAGGAACTGAGGAGAGGCCAGAACAACAGGCCTGCTGACACAATATTAGACAACAGGAACTGAGGAGAGGCCAGAACAACAGGCCTGCTGACACAATATTAGACAACAGGAACTGAGGAGAGGCCAGAACAACAGGCCTGCTGACACAATATTAGACAACAGGAACTGAGGAGAGGCCAGAACAACAGGCCTGCTGACACAATATTAGACAACAGGAACTGAGGAGAGGCCAGAACAACAGGCCTGCTGACACAATATTAGACAACAGGAACTGAGGAGAGGCCAGAACAACAGGCCTGCTGACACAATATTAGACAACAGGAACTGAGGAGAGGCCAGAACAACAGGCCTGCTGACACAATATTAGACAACAGGAACTGAGGAGAGGCCAGAACAACAGGCCTGCTGACACAATATTAGACAACAGGAACTGAGGAGAGGCCAGAACAACAGGCCTGCTGACACAATATTAGACAACAGGAACTGAGGAGAGGCCAGAACAACAGGCCTGCTGACACAATATTAGACAACAGGAACTGAGGAGAGGCCAGAACAACAGGCCTGCTGACACAATATTAGACAACAGGAACTGAGGAGAGGCCAGAACAACAGGCCTGCTGACACAATATTAGACAACAGGAACTGAGGAGAGGCCAGAACAACAGGCCTGCTGACACAATATTAGACAACAGGAACTGAGGAGAGGCCAGAACAACAGGCCTGCTGACACAATATTAGACAACAGGAACTGAGGAGAGGCCAGAACAACAGGCCTGCTGACACAATATTAGACAACAGGAACTGAGGAGAGGCCAGAACAACAGGCCTGCTGACACAATATTAGACAACAGGAACTGAGGAGAGGCCAGAACAACAGGCCTGCTGACACAATATTAGACAACAGGAACTGAGGAGAGGCCAGAACAACAGGCCTGCTGACACAATATTAGACAACAGGAACTGAGGAGAGGCCAGAACAACAGGCCTGCTGACACAATATTAGACAACAGGAACTGAGGAGAGGCCAGAACAACAGGCCTGCTGACACAATATTAGACAACAGGAACTGAGGAGAGGCCAGAACAACAGGCCTGCTGACACAATATTAGACAACAGGAACTGAGGAGAGGCCAGAACAACAGGCCTGCTGACACAATATTAGACAACAGGAACTGAGGAGAGGCCAGAACAACAGGCCTGCTGACACAATATTAGACAACAGGAACTGAGGAGAGGCCAGAACAACAGGCCTGCTGACACAATATTAGACAACAGGAACTGAGGAGAGGCCAGAACAACAGGCCTGCTGACACAATATTAGACAACAGGAACTGAGGAGAGGCCAGAACAACAGGCCTGCTGACACAATATTAGACAACAGGAACTGAGGAGAGGCCAGAACAACAGGCCTGCTGACACAATATTAGACAACAGGAACTGAGGAGAGGCCAGAACAACAGGCCTGCTGACACAATATTAGACAACAGGAACTGAGGAGAGGCCAGAACAACAGGCCTGCTGACACAATATTAGACAACAGGAACTGAGGAGAGGCCAGAACAACAGGCCTGCTGACACAATATTAGACAACAGGAACTGAGGAGAGGCCAGAACAACAGGCCTGCTGACACAATATTAGACAACAGGAACTGAGGAGAGGCCAGAACAACAGGCCTGCTGACACAATATTAGACAACAGGAACTGAGGAGAGGCCAGAACAACAGGCCTGCTGACACAATATTAGACAACAGGAACTGAGGAGAGGCCAGAACAACAGGCCTGCTGACACAATATTAGACAACAGGAACTGAGGAGAGGCCAGAACAACAGGCCTGCTGACACAATATTAGACAACAGGAACTGAGGAGAGGCCAGAACAACAGGCCTGCTGACACAATATTAGACAACAGGAACTGAGGAGAGGCCAGAACAACAGGCCTGCTGACACAATATTAGACAACAGGAACTGAGGAGAGGCCAGAACAACAGGCCTGCTGACACAATATTAGACAACAGGAACTGAGGAGAGGCCAGAACAACAGGCCTGCTGACACAATATTAGACAACAGGAACTGAGGAGAGGCCAGAACAACAGGCCTGCTGACACAATATTAGACAACAGGAACTGAGGAGAGGCCAGAACAACAGGCCTGCTGACACAATATTAGACAACAGGAACTGAGGAGAGGCCAGAACAACAGGCCTGCTGACACAATATTAGACAACAGGAACTGAGGAGAGGCCAGAACAACAGGCCTGCTGACACAATATTAGACAACAGGAACTGAGGAGAGGCCAGAACAACAGGCCTGCTGACACAATATTAGACAACAGGAACTGAGGAGAGGCCAGAACAACAGGCCTGCTGACACAATATTAGACAACAGGAACTGAGGAGAGGCCAGAACAACAGGCCTGCTGACACAATATTAGACAACAGGAACTGAGGAGAGGCCAGAACAACAGGCCTGCTGACACAATATTAGACAACAGGAACTGAGGAGAGGCCAGAACAACAGGCCTGCTGACACAATATTAGACAACAGGAACTGAGGAGAGGCCAGAACAACAGGCCTGCTGACACAATATTAGACAACAGGAACTGAGGAGAGGCCAGAACAACAGGCCTGCTGACACAATATTAGACAACAGGAACTGAGGAGAGGCCAGAACAACAGGCCTGCTGACACAATATTAGACAACAGGAACTGAGGAGAGGCCAGAACAACAGGCCTGCTGACACAATATTAGACAACAGGACCTGAGGAGAGGCCAGAACAACCGGCCAGAGTGCTGACACAATATTAGACAACAGAAACTGAGGAGAGGCCAGAACAACAGGCCTGCTGACACAATATTAGACAACAGCTAGGAGCTGAGAAGTCATCAGAACAAGAGGAATGATGCAATAAAAAAGGAAACAGACTTCGGACAATTTGGAACAAGACACAATTGATCTTCCTCTAAAAATTACCTAATAAAGGGGAAACCAGATGATGAGGAAGGGTAAGTATATATAGATATTATTTTCCTCACTTGTGGCTGGCACCTGTCATAATGTCTAATGCCAAATTCAGGAAGTATTGCAGCTACAATGTAGTTCAGGGATATGCTTGTTAAAGAGTACAAAGACATTTAAGAATCCACATGTCTCCATCTCGATATTTGTTTTATATTTGCATGTATAATAATAATAATTTAAATTGAAAGAGCAGTAGGGAAGAAAACCTTTGGAAACTCATCTCATCTTATTTAAAAAAAAAAAAAAGGTAAAGAAAAGTATGATTTGATTAATTCCGAAGCAAGTGGTAGGTATTCAGGGTACAATAACGGGTTTTCCAACATGATTCTTATTGTTACCAGTTAATGTTATAAATCAACCTCATCGTTACGAGTGTCGACAACAGAGCAAAGTTATGGGGTGTCTTTACAATGTAATAAAGGAAATTGTGTACTTGATTGAAATTGTAGTGTTCTATGTCTAAAAACAAATATAACAACCATATTATGTAGTTTTGAATTGTACTTTATCAAATTCATATATACCTTTTTTATCCTCACTATTAAAAAGATAAAAAAAAAAAACAAGAATGAGAAACAGCCGAACTTTAATATCCGGATTTTTTGTTTCCTTTAGTAGATTGTATACATGTTTATGACAGCCTTCCGTAATTTCAGCATTTTTCTGCCGATATGAGTACGAAATCGCGGATGCTTCTTAAGTGCGCGGAAACTGGTAACCCGAGGATATAAATTGATGGTATGATACCGTTGCTAACATTGGTTATCTCCCTTGTTTTGCCGGAAGTACATAAAATCATCTGATAAATATTGTAGACAGACACGTTGTACAGTATATTCCTAAGAAGATTGTGAGCTTTTTGACTCCAGTATGTATAAGTATTCTGAAAAGGAAGTACAGAAATTTACGTTAGAACAACTGAGACAGAAATTAAGGGTAAAGGGACTGAAAACGAAAGGACGTAAAAAGGAGTTGGTAAGGTTAGGATGCCGGTTGAAAAAGTAGCCACAGACCGATTTCCAGCACGGCACGTTGCCAATTCATATTGTCCTAAACTTTTAGTTCTCCTGTTAACTGGTGACACTGGAAGCTTTATAAGTCTTCGATACAAGCAATTTTCGGCTATATTTCTACGTTACGTTTCCACTGTGCCATGATGTCAATGGGTCAAATTATCCCATATTTATTGTAATAGCCCACAGTAGTCTGACGTTTTATATACAGATTTTTATAATTATATTGATAAACCGTAAGACTCCTTTGAATTATCCGATAATATGGAGACAGGAATATTTCCAGTGTCTCCATATCTTTGTGTTAGATTTTGTGCGTATTTTAGCTCCGTAATTTTTGACTAAAACTTATATCAATGTGGAGTTTTGTGTGTGAACATTTTTGTATAATATATATAACTGTCTTTTCTTGTCAGACATTCTTCTAAATTTCTGACAGTTTCACTTTCAGTGTTTCATAAAAAAACGTCAAAATAAACAAAAATAATGATAAAAATATTTATTCAGGTAAAATAGTCATATGGATTACAATACATAAATATCACAGAGTAGAGTACAGTACAACATTAAATTTTGCGACAGTACTTTTACCTTAAAATAACAACATTGAGCACTAGTTAATATGTGAGATCAATAGATTAGAATTTTTACCGAAATTGCAGCCTTTTACCTAGGATAACCCAAAAAGCTGAAAGCTTATTTCCATTGGGGTCCTTTAAAAGAAACTAAAATACAATTTTAAAATTGAGTATTGGTGTTATACATTATTTGATACATTTGTGGACATCATTCATAAAATAAACTGCTATTCCTTTAAAACATGATTGTCAGTTTAAGTCATTCACCCCTGAAATTTTATTATGGACTATTCCAACCTTTGAATTGGAAGAGTTCAAATGTGTCTTCAGGGGTGAATAGGTTAAAAGTACACATATGAGACATACAGTAAAATATTCAATAATCTAAAACATAGAATCATTAAAAGTACAAAAAAAACAGCAAAACAATTAAAGATTAAGATCGGAAATAAGATTACTTGATTATCTAGATTGTGTCACGAAATTAACTATTTGAATTTTGTAAAATAAAGTTATGCAGTAAGGTATTGATGGAATCCCACAACTGTCACTTTGATGAATGCCACATGGTAACAGTACATGTGCTGAAGATTTGATTGATCTCTGAATTGCCTTTCAGTAGATCTACAGTTCCTTTTGATAATATCATACACATTTTGTTCTCATTTGATAAGATATTCATTCTGCTCTTGGCACCATCCTCGATACTCGGTCTCCAGGCTAGTGTTACACTCACTTGCTCTCTGCACCCCTGTAATATGTCATAACAAAATTGAAGGCACACGGCTAGCTATATTGAATTCATCTTGGGTAAAAAAAAACCTGAACGATCTCTAGACTGATACCTGTCCTTTGAAGTTTACAGAGGAGCAATACCTGACTTCAAAGCCAGTCAATCTAGTGGTCTCTTATTCTCGTCCACAAGGTGGGGCACACTGAGCCTTTATTTACTTTAATTTTGCTACGACATATTCCAGGGGTGCAGAGAGAGAAAGTGAGCATAACCCCTGGAGTATCATGGATGTCTTAGCACTTTTCTTCATTTAAAGTCTAATTGTCAATATGAGATCAAATACAGCTAATTTTGTGATTTAATTATTACCGTCACTGATGTAGCCTCCAGGTAAAAAGATACCTACTTTATAACTTTGCCTGCTTTCCTGATATGTCATTTACATAAAGACAATTAAGTATTCTATAAATATAGTGGATAGATGGATTTGTTTCAACCGGTTAAATGTTAGGCTGTAAAAACTACTAATTTCTTTGGGACTGTTATGTTAATATTATTTTAACCTGAGAACAAGGAACAGGTCTAGGTCAACATCATGAGCTTAAGTGCAATAATGAATTTGAGATTCTGTATCCTGATCATAAATTGAATCGTGGTAAAGTTAAAACTGTAAAATAGGTTTTTAGGACAAAAGGTTTATGATTTAATCACTAACGGATAACCTTATTCTCCTGCCATTTTATAGGTGTTGAGGGGTGGGGAGGGGAGAAGATGGAATACGGTGTTGCCCATGTGTGTCTCCGTCAATTCTGTTGAAATTCATTTTCATGACTCTACCAATTTTATTTCTTAACAGATTTCCATCAAAGTTCATACAGAGGTCAAGTATGAATTTCAGGGTCCCAAGGCCAATACCAAGGTCACTGTTACTATCTTTAGATTAACCTCAAGACCAAGGGGGCATTCATGTCTAGCAGACATTTTCTAGTTTTTGATGGATTTAAAGTAATATTTCAGAGAAAAAGATCTCTTTAAAACAAATGATTCTGAAGTTAGTTAAACATGGCTTTTATTAATAGGTTATGGAGTTCATATTCTGAATTGAATATGGATATGATCTTTCCACAACCATTAATTCATGCTATAAATGTTCTAACATACTCTGTTCTTCTTAGACCTGTTGTCTGATAATCAAAGAATACTAAATAGCGATGCTTACAAGGCCTGTTAACCATCTGCAACACTACCAGTAAGCCACAAACATAACAACATATTTTGCCGAAATACCATTCTTGATAAAACCTACAAAGAAACATTGTTTAGATAGGTGTTTGATAAAATGTGCATGTCCTATGGGCTTAGTGTAAACATATGTTGACAGGAATCACAGGGATAGTTACATGACATTGACATCTGTTACACTGCTGAAGCGTAAAATGTCGGTCAATAATGGGATAAAAAGAACAAAATGTATATATTAGTCTATACTGTAAAAGGAATTGCTAGTTCTCATATGTTAAGTTTATTTGTCCTTTGGTTATATATATATTTTTTTAAATCTTATCATTTTTGTCCTGGACATTGTAAAGATTATTTTTGTAAGATTGCATGTCGATTGCATGAATTCTCGAAGATTACTTTTTAGACCATATTGTGGATACATTTGTACACATACTGTACCTGCACACAAAAATATCCTAGTAATGTGATTATTTATATACACAATACATGTACATGTAGAACGTTAAATCTAGAAGCTGAGAAGCAGATTGTGTATAACTAAAAACCAAGCGTGCACATGTAATGTTCCATGCTGTGCGTGGAGCCTATCAAGCTGCCTGGATTGTAGGGCCATGTGGTTAATGCATGCTTTCTCATTCCATACTTGTTTACTACCATAAGTCTGTTTACTTTTTGTGTTGCTTTATGTATTACCTTTCTTTGCTGTGATCTTTCTTTGATTTGCTGTTATTATGTGCATACTTTTGAAAACCATCGTTATACATTGAGTGTTAGATAATGTTAGGGTATTACATCTGCTTTAATTCTAGCTTATGTTGTGTGTGATAATTAAAAATCTTTTAGTAGACTTGCTCTAAAATCTATTTTTTGGGGTGATTTTTATTTTTATTTCTTCATCAGTTAATGTTGAATTGTTATGACTAATTTGCAGTCGTGTGTATACCAGGGTACAACTTCCTTTCCTTTTCACATTTTATGTATTTTTATAGAATATTTGCTTGAAATTTAGACGTTTTAATTTTTACGCTGTAAATGCTTACATGTTTGGATTCTTTTTGTTGATAAATAAATACAGATTTAGCTTGCAATATATTTAATATGATCTTTTTATTGCTAAGTGTGATTTTAATTTTGTGAACTTCACTTAAGTTGAATTTTTCATATTGGTCATGTTCATATAGCCTTGCCTTGTTAATGATTTTGAATATATACTTCTTATGAAATTCAAAAAATCCTGAGAAGTCCTCTTACTTGTTCAGGTAAGCCGCTTACTACAAGCTAGCAGAGCTGAGATGGATGGCGGTCTGAAGACGCCCTCTGATAAGACAAGACAACGCCCAAAGGGGTCGGGAAGCACTAATGGTCAGGTCAGCGACACACCTCAGCCAAAGATAAACATGCAGGAAGTTTTTCAGCGAGAGCGAACTGAGAGGGATGGCATTGTGATCTGGAAAAGTCCTCTTACAGCACTCCAATTCTTCAGTTTAGAATGTATGATACTTTTGTCTACAGTGATGAAAAGGTAAATGTTACTTTGGGCATCTCATTATCACAATCCTCCTCAAGTACTAGCCAAACGTCACATGGGCTTATGCAGTTTGTTATCAACTTTTCCGTAAAAAAACAAATTGCTAGCTCAGAAAGACTGAAAAGATTTTGACTGTTTAGCATGGAACACCCCAGGGTCCAAGGAATTCAATATTACTTAATTGAAGTCTTATCCTTTTGGAGGTTCTGAGGAGGTTAGTTTAGATGGAATGATTCCAGTTACTGATAGGAGAAAAGGGTGGGTGGGGGGTGTAACTCTTATAAGACTACAGCTTAGTGGTATATAATCAACTGCGTTGAATATATTTTGGCCAAGGTAATTAAATGTTATAAGCCCCCACCCTCCCCTCCCCTCCCCCGTCAGTACCCTTTGCTAAAACATTTTCAAACAAACTTCTTGTCACATTCAGATATCAAAAAGATATAGGTGGTCATGACATAAGTCCCATTTTTCTCTAGTTAAATGTATCTAAAGTGTTTAACATTCTCAAAAATGAAGACATTCTATTACAAGCGGAGGTTTTGTTACCTGTACATGGGTTAAGGTACATGTAGTAAGATTCAGGATTCCTGCTTGATTAAAAGTGAAAGCTTTTAAGAAAATTGCTGAAATTGTAAAAATGGTATCATAATTATACAGGAAGGAATAAATGATTCCATGTATTATCTGTCTATATTGTATTAAAAACTTTGATTTTCGCAATGTCAAGATTCCCATGAAAAATGCGAAACACTTCCCTTAAATCACAGAAAAGATGAGTTCTCCTCATAAAGTGCTCCATATACATGTTGCTATACATTTTACAATTATTTTTTCAGACTTTGGAGGAGGAAAGCAACTGTGCTACTTGTTCTTTTGGGAATCCTTGCTATCTATGCTTTTTACTTAATTGAGGGTCCACACCAAAAGGTAGGTTGTTATATGGCTACCATGATTTACCATAGTAAATACATGTATACCAACCAAAGGTAGTATAAGATCCTGTGTGTGTCTACAAGATTAAAGAAATTGTTGAAGGAGTTAGGGAGTTGTGGAATTGGATGTTGGCCATTGTTTCTTAGAATGTAAACTTTTTAATACACCACAAATTATGCTATTTCAAAACATAAGCTCGTTGAATATGTATCCAGTTAATTTAATTATTTTTTATTTGGTAATGAAAATCTGTCTAGATACCAATACAGAAGTATTCAGAAATGTGCAACTTTTCATCAAATCCAGTAAAATATGATAATTGTAAAATATAGTTTGTATGCCTTGTTAAATGCGATCATGTAAATATCAATATGAACTGTATTAGAGGAAAAGGCATTGATAAGTTGATATAACTTGTGCCTAATCCTCGGCTCAAATTTGAGGCAATAAATATGTTTAAATCAGTGGAATTGGACAGTCATGATTGCCAGAAACTATGGTTTTCTCAGTTAATGTGGACCAACCGGTTGACCTGTTGTTAAATGTAACATATTAGGGGATGTATCCTGGCAGACCTGCATATGTTTAATGCTGGCCCTGAAAGTCATTGTCAAGGCTTGCTAGAAAGCTACAGAAGATCACAAGGTTTTGTCCCTGTTTCATAAACAAACAACTCTGGTCCAACTGGTCAGACCATTTGGAACACAAGATATGAAAGCAATCCAGGTAGTTCAGTCGGCTAGATTGCCAGTTTAGATTATGAAGGCCCGGTTTTGGATCTTGGCCTGTCCTTCGCTTTTTTCCTTTTCTGTTTAATACATAATGATTTCTCTTGTTTTTTCCTTTTCAGTATGTACAGATAATGGAAACCCACTTTTTGTGGTGGTCGTATTGGGCCGGCCTGGGGATCCTGTCTTCTGTAGGCCTAGGAACTGGCCTGCATACATTCCTCTTGTACTTGGTAAGTAAAGGCAAATAGGGTTGGCTTGAAAATCCCTGGTCTAGTGTACATATATGCTTGGAAAGTCCTCTTGGGGAGAAGAGGATGTTGTTACCTGGTATGTGAAAACATCTCCAATAAATGTAAATGTTCCCTATATCATACAGTTTAAACAGTGTCAGTATGACAGGATGCAAATTACCAGCTCATAGATGGAAATAATATGTAAGCATTTTTATATGCCCGTCAAATTTTGACGGGAGTATTATGGTATGGTGTCGTTTGTCTGTCCATCCGGCGTAAACTTTTGTTTGTCCGTCAATCTCCTCCTACATTTTTTCGACCAATCTCTTTGAAACTTGGTATACATTATAATCATGATATGAAGTTGTGTCTCCCTTAAAAGAATTTTGATTCAACATTTTTTCCAAAAGTTTTTGCCCTTTGTTCATTTCAGTATTTGATTTTTGTCCGGCAATCTCCTCCTACATTTTTTTAACGGATCTCTTTAAAACTTGGTATACATTATAATCACGATATGAAGTTGTGTCCCCCTTAAAAGAATTTTGATTCAACAATAGTTACAAAAGTTATTGCCCTTTGTTCATTTCAGTATTTGAATTTTGTCCAGAGATCTCCTAAAATATATTGCCTTTTGTTCATTTTAGTATTTGATTTTTTGTCTGAAGATTTTCTCCTACAATTTTTATAGCATATCAGCTAACCACTCTTAGAATGATGCAGATCTTATTTCAATGTAAGAAAGTATATAACACTATATGGCATTTGACGGGCGTATATTGTTCCGCCTCGCGGTACTCTCGTTGTCTCTATTATTATTTTTTATTATTTTCCAGGGTCCTCATATAGCCACTGTTACGTTAGCTGCTTATGAATGTTCTTCCATCGACTTTCCAGAGCCACCATATCCTTCCAAGTAAGTGATACAAAGTTACACTGGATTCCCGTGTTTGAAATAAGCATATACTATTTATCACAAACAAGATTACTAATGACCAAACATCTCCTCCTTCTCATCATATAATTAATTGATTACTCCTGTACATGTATACAATTTTATATAAGATGTGTGAGATACTTTGCTTGGTGCCTTCGGCATGGCATTTCAGTGAGATAGCACTATAAAGTCGGCATCAGATCCGCGCTATAACAAGCACACCAACAAACCCTGTCTCCTGCACACACACACACACGCAAGCACGCATACACTACACACATGGAGGCATGTCCTTAAATGACCCTAGCTGTTAATAGGACGTTCAGCAAAATTAAACCAAACCAAACTTTGCAAAGAAACATCAAGTTTACAGTGACCACGAAATTACCATGGCACATAATATTTACCCATCATAAATAGTGTTTACAGTAAATAACATGTAAAGGGCATCACCACAGAGAGGTAGAATTTTCTCTCTTTAAGAGGTAAAATTGTAGAAATAGACATTGGGGCTATGATAGAGTAATCGCAAACCTGTTGTCCTGACCTTTGTTCCACAATTTTTTACAGGATCATCTGTCCTACAGATGTAGTGGCTGGAGACGGTCACATCTCACTATGGACAATCATGGGCAAGGTCCGCATTGAGGCCATCATGTGGGTAAGTCAAGTACACATACACATTTTTACAATTTCAGTTTGTTGTGCATGGTGTCTTTAAGTATTTCCATGTATATTTTTATACCCGCATGATGATTCTTTGAGGGTATACAGGGATCTGCCTGTATCTACATGTCCAAGAGGTTGTCATAATTCCACAGAGTTCATTTTTGTCTCGCCGCCACAAAGTAGCAGAAGCGAGACTAAGGTGTTGCTTTTCCAGCGATGGTGGCAACATTAACATTAAGTTTTTGCATTTAAGTTAGTTTCACTGAAAGTATAAGTGCTAGACCAACCAAACTTGGACCATAGATACATCTTAAGTAGTACATCTCAACCCATGCATCACATGCTGGATGTGGCCTACCTTTCATGGTCCATTGACTTTGTCAGCATCTCGATCAACATTAGTGTTTTGTGTTTAAGCTAGCTTCTCTGAAACTATAAGTGCTAGACTAACCAAACTTGACATGTGCATTGATGGTCAAAGCGGGGCACAGGCGAGACATATCAATGACTTGTCTTGTATACAAAGCTCGCATTTCAACCTTCTGGAGTCAAACTCCTATATAATAAATGAATAAAAGACATTTTAATAATCAGAGACAGGCTTGACTAATTAACAATCATGGTAGATTTCCTTTTGACTATTAGAATTTTTGTGTTGTGTCATAGGGGGCAGGAACAGCCATTGGAGAACTCCCTCCCTATTTTATGGCCAGGGCTGCCAGACTCTCTGGATCACATGATGATGACGAGTTTGAGGAAATTGAAGAACTGTTACAGGAAAAGAAAGTCCATCCTGATGACATGGTAACTATTTCCGAAATATCATAACTTTTAACTTTTCTTTTAAAAGAGCAGACGGTTAAATACATCCATGTTTGCAGACGTTACAATGACAATATTTGCTTGTAGGCTATTAGACTATTAGAGGGGGTGAAAATATTACCATTTATACATTAGTGAAGGGGGCATTAAGTGTTTACCCTCTTAATCTGTCATTTGTACAACATCTTGCAATTTGGATAGCATTTAGCTCCATTTCTTTGATACTACAAGTTCCACATTCATCAAATATGCAGATTCATCTTCAGGAGTTCTACACTATAATGTGATAAGTAGGTCACCGTGACCTATATTTTCCTTTTCACTGACATTTGATAGGCTTTGCATTTAGCTCCATTTGTTAACAAACATTTTCTAGTGTTGATACAGAACTGTCCCAGTAATCCAACCTTTTCTAGGAACGAATGTGGCTGAATTATTTTATCAAAGCTCCTTTATACAGCTAAATTAACATTAGAATATATTTATCTCGTTAAATAAAAATTATTTTAAAATTTAAAAAAAGCATTTGTATTAAACTTATATTAAAAAAATAGTTTATGCATGAAAACTTTGTTAACACTTATTATGCAATATATGAAATCAACTTTTCAAGACACAACTGTTCAACATGAAAGCAAAATATGAAGAAAAAAATCATAAACAAAGCACTTGTATCATCAACACAATAACTACATTAATACATTTAGATGGAATGTTCTGTTACTGGTCACGTGGTATGTATTACCTGATTTTGTTTTGTGGACCACCATTTGTTTCCTGGTTCATACTGTTTGAAAGAAATTTCAGATTTGTTAAATTCAACTGGTTTAATTCTTTTAACACTTTCTACATACACCAACTCTTAACAGTTCAGCACTTGGAAAAGAAAGACTTAAAAAGGGTATTTCAAGGGTATTCATTTATATGTAGAATACCAGGCAGCCCACAGGTAGTTTTTGACATATGATACTAACCCAAGTTTATATATTTTCATAGTAAAGAAATTGAAAATTTCGCTGCAGCTTTGATTCAATATCTACTAGATGAGAGTGTCGTCCTAGTAACATTGTATACCTCTGGGTAATTTTGCTCCTTTGTTTGGCATGAATAATGTGTATCAAGTACGGAAACCTTGGATTTCAGGGACACAGTCGTAATTGTGAGGTCACAATGAAAATTCATTGACGTCATTTTTAGGTATGGTCAATACATGAGCTGACTGGACTATTAGTATTAAATACTACTAAAGAGTATGTGATAATGTTACTCGGTGGAACCCGCTTATTATATTCGATATTATGATAAATCGCTTATTATAATATTTTTTCCATGTACTGAATTTTTCTCTATGTAAACTAAGTAAAAAAAAAAATTTTATTATGATCAGGTCAGATCTGGGACCTGCCTTACTATGATATTTCTTTCTGCCATGAATCAATTCTTATAAGCTTATATATTGAGAAAAAAGTCCCAGACATAATAAGTACAGGTAATATATTATAGAATAACCCTGACTTTATAGGATTCTTTCAACAAAATCCCTCATCCCGGTTGTTCAAATTCTAATTATCTAGTTATGTAGTATTTTTTCAAAAATCCTCATATTCAACACTGAAATTGAATGTATAGGGTTAGATAATATCATTGTTTGAAGACAAGAAACGTCTAATTTTTCAAAAGATGTTAAATACTTCTCAGTACTATTGATGTGAATATTCAAAGTGAGGACTAACTTACTTATCAGGGTTTGAACAATTAGTCCAGCTACTAGGAAATGTTCTGGTTTAGTTAATTTGTTTTCAACATTTACTACATTTATTTATTTATTTATTTTCAATTGAAGTATTTTGATAGAATAGTTAGGGGTGTACATTTTCATTTTAAGACTAATGTCCCACGGGCATATTATGAAAATCTTGACCATCCCAACCTGTTGGAATAATTTTATAGTACATCGCATGTACCTGGTAAAAATCGAAAATTTCTCCACAAAAAATGCATTGGAAAAAAACGAAAAATTCCTCAGTGAAATTACCTGGCTTCCTTGCACATATTTTCTTTATAACGTCTTATTGAACATTTTTTTTATATATTAGCAAAATGTTCATGGTTAAGGTCTGTTGGGCTATCAAAAATTCAGGAGGTCTATAAGAAATCTATTTTGTAGACCTATTGTCAATGGTGTCTAATCCTCAGTTCTAAAACTGACAGGTACTTTATTTTTGCAAGCTATATCTGTATGTTTTATTTGCTAATAGTTGAATTTGTGATTGAAAGTGCACTATTTCGGTATTGATAGTATTTATCAATGAAATTTACATTTGCACAGATCAAAATTCATGAATGTGTTTCCTTGTAAACTGCAGATATCAAAATTCATGAATGTATTTCCTCGTAAATAAATGCGAAATGAATCTCTCACAGAAGTTACTGGTTTAAAGTAGACCAGCCTCGTTACTCCACCCTTGTTGCTAGCACTTTGGGTGTTGTTGTTTTTTTGGGCCGGATAAATGAGGCCAAACTAGCAAGCAGACAATAGGACAAGTGCAAGTTGGAGGACAGAACTAGAACAGTTGTTCAAAACCTGATTGGCTAAAATCTGAACTTAACTGGTATATTAATTCTATAAAAAGATCAAAATTTAAAGCTTAAGTTGCATGAACAGGATTCAAAACTGTCATCTGAAAAAAAAAAATAAAAAAAAATTGTAAACTTTCATATATACATTTACAATGTTTCTCAAATATCTCAATATTTGAGTTACTAAGTAACAACTTCAATAGTCCAGAGTTGGGGGGGATGCTTTTATACTAACAGGTTTAAATTTCATTCCCTTCAAAAGATTAAAATCATCCATTGAAATATATTTTACCAAGTTTCAGAGATTATTATTTCAGTGTTTTAAATGCCAATAAGTTAATAATATTTTCTTTTTCAGTCTTTCATGGAAAGAGCAAAATTAGGTGTACACAACTTGGTGCAGAAAGTTGGGTTCTTTGGAATTCTTGCATGTGCATCAGTGAGTATATATTCGATCTCTTGTTAAGTTAAAAGGTACCAACAATGAAACTATAAATTACCATTGTGACTATTTTGAAATATTTGTTTAAGTTTTTTCAAAGGAAAGATTCCATAAAAAAATCACAAGTTGCTATGCATTTTATTGAATTGTAGTTCTTCAAAATTTGAATGCTTAAATGAAAAAATGAAAACTTTAGGTGTCGAACCTGCAACCATTACAATACTCCAAGTCAAAAAAACTTCAGAGTGGAACTCTTCTTCACAGTTATAACTGATGTAGTGGTACCCTTGCATTTCCATTGTTAAGCCTACCAACTCACAAGTTTGTTTTATATCACACAACAAACTTAGGGGGTATACTATTTTAAGTGCCACACCTACCAAACTTGGACCATAGGTGTATCCTAGCTCTTTATTGCAATATGTGCATCAAATACTGAAATTGGCCTCCATTTTCTGGTCCAATCACTGGTAAAACATTGTCATCAATATGAAGTTTTTGCATTTAGCTGTGTGTTAGGTGTTGTGTCTGATTGACAAATATGACTTTGTGACACACATGTGTATTTCTTTTTCAGATTCCAAATCCCTTGTTTGACTTGGCAGGAATAACTTGCGGCCATTTTCTAGTGCCTTTCTGGACATTTTTTGGAGCAACGTTAATAGGAAAAGCTGTTATTAAGATGCATATACAGGTTTGTTTAACAGTTTAATTTGTCCTTACAATAGCTAAATGTCATATATCGGTAAAGATGGTACTATTTAAGACTACTGTGTTAATCACATACAAAGAGCTAGCACTCGTCATGAATCAAGGAATATCCTCAATAAATTGTTTATAAATCATCGAAAATATATATTTTATCTTTGTTCCACAGCAGAATGTCATATTTCATACAATACTGATATATTGAAGTTACGAACTAGGTACCTTGGTAACTGATTTAATTGACCATAAGTCCATAACTAATGTTGTATATGTTTTCCCTTTCTCTAACATTCCATTTCTGTTTGTGTTTTTCAGAAGTTATTTGTTATCTTCATGTTTAGTGAACATCACGTAGAAGAAGTTGTCAATCTAATAGGGTAAGTACAAACAACCTCAAACCTGATTCAATAATTGTGATAATCAAAAAGTGTCAATCTTAAAGGGTAAGTACAAACCGCTCCAGACCAGAAGCAGTTTGTTTACCAAGACTTGTCAGTCCTAAAGGATAGGTGCAAATAATTCCGAAAAATATGTAATTAAGATAATTTCCTTATTAATCCTGTGTTTGTCTAGTCTATTTTTGAAAGTGTTTGTTGTTGTCACTGATCATGATAGCACACCTGGGAGAATATTCCATATATTAATTATACACAAAGAAATAAATGCTTGTTCATGTCTTTGCTTAATACTGTGAATAATGGTACCGTAGTCTAGTGGAAGGGCGCCAGGCCAAAGGATTGCAGGTTCAAGTCACAGCATGGTACTGTGTGGTATCTTTGAACAAGATACTTTTCTGCACTTGTTCCAGTCTACTCAGCTGTAAATTAGTACGTGGTTGGGCAGTGCTAGAATTGTTGAATGCTAGCTGTGAGCGTCGAAATGGCAGCACCCTGGTCCTGTATGCTCCCCAGAGAGTTGAGAAATATGCTGGCTGGTTGCAAAGGCCCTATAACCACGGATAATATGATTTGTGAACCGCTTTGAGACGACCTATGAACTAGGTTGTGATAAAGCGGTATATAAGAACCTTGAATTATAATTATTACTATTATAATAAAGTTGTTTGCTATGACCCCCAAGTTCTTGTCCTTTCAGTATTCTAATGTGATATTTTACTCCTACTCCTACTGGCCTGTTCATAATGATTATATTCAAGCTCCCAGCAACTTGGTGTTGTCTGTTAAGTAATTTGAATACATTTTTGTTTCAGGTATGTCCCAAAGTTTGGTAAATCATTACAGTCACCGTTTAAGGATTATTTATCATTACAACGGAAGAAACTTCACCATACACAGGGGACGGAAAGTGCAAATGTAATTATATGTAGTCACTGATTGTGTTGTAACTATTGATTTGTATGGCTCTAATTGTATGGATGTGACAATAATTTGATTAAATACGATTATGTGAAAAAGGCTATGTGATTTAAAATGGTTGATTATTCTCATTCACCCCTGAAGACACATTTGAACTCTTCCAATTCAAAGGTTGGAATAGTTCATTATGAAATTTCAGGGGTGAATGAGTTAATAATGCATTTCAAAATGTTGTCATATCATTAACTGGTCACCAAATGAAATTGATTCACTAATTTGCAAACACATATTTATCACAGCCCTCTTGTAGAAATCTTGATTTGTTTATTTGTACGACTAAACTAAGGAGTGGACTGAAGTGTGAGGGTAGAAATAACCCTGTCATCCTTGCAGTCCATAATCTCAGAAATGCTTAGTTATAAAATAGATTGTGATACCCTTACTTACCTCCAACTGTTTTGGATGGGAATGGAGAATTCTGTGGGCTTCGGTAGCTTGGTTTTTGCTCATCCTCAGTTAATGTGTTGAATTTCCTTTTTTAACTCGTTAAACCTTACATCATCACTTTGTTTTATTTACAGGAATCAAATCTACTAGGCTGGGTATTTGAGAAGCTGATTATTGTGATGGTGATATATTTCGTCATATCTATTGTCAACTCAACGGCACAGAGTTACCACAAGAGGATGTGTAAAGAAAAACGCAAGCCGCGACCGACCTGATCAAAGACCTGTTGCAACAAATCACCCAGTACTAGGACCAGCAGTGGTACCAGGCAGCCTGAATAGGGATAACATGGATTCTGTAAATTATGTAATAATAATGAAATCTGGTCATAAACAAGTGTTCCCGAGTGTTGAAAGTATGGAAGAATTTCAAGGAAACTCAGATTGATGTCCGTGTCCTGTTCGCAATGAAAGGATTTTATTAAGATTAAGTCTAGACAAATTTGGAAAGAAATTTTCACCTGGATTTGCCAAAAAGTTAAGTTTTCAAAACAAAAATCATATATTTAGTTGGAATTACAGTAACATCCTTTATATAATTAGGCAAAACCTTTTCGATGTATTTTGAAAGATGTAATTTTGGAAATAAGTCTAAAAGTAATGACAACATGCCAGTTTCTGAGAGTTTAGATATTGGCTGGTGATTGAACATGGCCCTCTTTGCTCAGGTGTTGTGGGAGTGTGAGAGGAAGGAAGTAACTACCACTGTTTTGTAAAATGGCTGTTGATGTACAGGTTGTAAAAGGATATATTGTTTACTCAGAAGACTTTTATATAGTGTAAGTATTTATTCTGAAATTGTAGAAAATACCTTGTGAAGGTAAGAAATTCACAAGAATTTTATTTGAAGGACTTGATATATTTAATAATTCACTAAACATGAGATGGTGTATTCTGCAAATTATTGAAATTTGACCTGACCTATGGTGTAGTGGACACATGTAACGGAGTTCACTTTTCCAAGTGCCTCCGCAAGGGGTCAAACCCAGGACTACATAGTACATCTGTACTAGTACTCTGCTCCACTAATTGAGCTGAAAGGAAAATTCCCTTTAACCAAATCGGTATTAAACAACAGCTAGATAATTCATTAGTGATTACTCCCCTCCATGGAAAGATCTTGTCTTCAAACTTAAGGAGAACAGCCATACTCGTTAGAGTAAGGTTAGGGAAATTATTATAATATATAAACTTATCTATTTACAAAAACTATGAAACAGGTTATTTCAACTTACACTAATCACTCTTATTGGACCGGATAATAGCGCACTAGGCGTATTAATGTTGGAGGAAACCAGAGAAAACGCACGTGGTTGGGCAGGTAAACGCCTTACCTTTTACATCGGATCGAGGAATCAATACCCAGTCTCCTTAGTGAAATGTGAATGTGTTGTCAACTGTGCCACCCTACCACCCATAAATTATTATAAACAGTACCTAGATCCCAAGGTGCCACTGTAAGAGAGGTCCCTTTTTTCTTAGTGTATGTGCCACTCAGGGGGGTCAAACATGGGATTACATATAATGATTCTGGTGTTCTACCAATTGAGGTAAAGTGCAATTCCTCTAGCTGAGTCAGTATCGAGCGACTAGTTTGTCACTGTGACACTATAATCGGTGTTACAAGGGTATCATTGAGTTAGTATGTTATACTATACACAGGAGTGTTATCAATGTGAACTTTGTGATAGTGCTGTCATTGTCTCGCTGAATCTGGTATACAGCCAACATTTCATATTTATATAAAACTGTGTTGTAGAGGAAGCTCTTGTTTGATTACCACAAAGTGGGGATGATTTGTGTTTGTGTGGAGGTGTATAAATTGTTCTCTGTGTTCAGTATCAACGATCAAACCTTTTTTGATCTCAGTGGTACGTCATTCATAATTCTTATTTTGCATCACATATGTAAATATCATACCGATAATTCAATCCTGAAATTATTATCTTGTCTTCAAGATTATTTCATATGATACTCATCTCCTTACAGGGAATGTTGTGTTATCCCTATCTCTCTAACAATTTACCTGAACTGAACAACTTTGTGTGTGGAGCCTCATCCAGTTGTCCTGTATAAACACACTTGAGCATGTCAACACCTATTTTCCTGTTTTGTTCAAGCATTCATGATGGAAATGATAATTTGTTTTAGGATGATGACGTACAAATCTTAAATATTTAATATCAAATACTTTCTTTAATAGCAATTTTTGGTCTACAAAATTTATTTCAATATGTTTTCACATGTTTGTGGTTTTCTTGCGTTCTGATTTAAGTTGCAGGAAAAATGTCGATATAATCACTGCAGGAATATTAGTTTATCTACTGCAACCTCAAAAACTGAAAATATGCACAATACAGGGCCGTTTTCGTTTAAACGATCAAACCGGTCGGACCACAGATATTTGTTTATTAAATAAGGTCAGACCTAGTAATCTGATGCTGATCTGATGCGAGCCTTGACAAATCCTTGCAAGGCCTGCAAAAACATTTTCAGGTCCGCCAGGAATTATACCCGAAATTGTTAAATTTATAATCGGTCAAACCGGTTGTTCCGCATAAACGAACAGGCCCCAAGTTTCATTTTGGTAAAGCTTAGATTGTCTCCCCTTGTCCAGATGCTTTCAATTAACTTACCGATTGGCTTGTGTATGTTAATCAATAACTTGTTAACATGATTCCTCTAATAAGCGTCATCATTATCAGCATGTTATACAAGTAAGAATTTACAATTAGTCATGTAGATTTTAATGTTCCTATTTGTTCGGGCCATGTCAGTCTCTATGTTAATCTTGGACAGCTGTTTTCTCAGTACATGGTTAAGCATTAGTGCAAATTAAGGTGTCCATGACAAACATTTAATGTGGAGTCATCACTTTACCTGGAGATTAAGGTCTCTTTAGCACATTCATCTTTTAAAAGTAATGTCGAGCTTAAAATGAGAATGACCAAGCAGTCTGTTTATGTTTTATAAGAAGAATAGCAGCAAAATGAAATTTATAATGGTGTTAATTATTCATCCATTTTGTTAAATCAAAAATGTCTTCAAAAGAATACAGTTTTAAAGATGCCTTTTAGCTTAAATAAAATTATGTATTTATATTGCTTTTAATTGATTTTTAAAACTGTCAAGTTTATAGTTAACAAATTACACATTTAGGGACCCTTGATTATGTTTTTTTGACATTCCATTTTGTCATTCCTTATGTAGCTGCATGCCATACATAGATATTGCTGAAAGGTTTCCTGTTTTCTATCTGTACCTGTCATATTTGTTATTGTGTGCATTGTGTATAATCATGGCATCAAAGTACATGTATTTATAAAACTCACTGAAGAGTTTTCCTGAATTCAGCTTGAAGTACGAACCTGAAACGAAGGAACGTGATTGAGTTGAGATCCTTTATGAAGGAATATAACCAACTATGTTTCCTGTTGTATGATTGTATACACTGTTTCTAGAAACAAAGATTGATGTTTTATACATTAGACCCATACAACTTTATTAAATTACACAGATTGATCACTTCAATATAATTACCAGGGTATTCACTACCTGGTTATACAAATGTAATACCTTTATTTCTGTATCATGATATTTGACTGTTGCATAGCCAAGCTTTCAATTTTCCAACTTTTTTGCGACCCCCAATAACTTTCAGCTAATTCTTAATCTCCTCTTGATTGATTTTAACCAGTAATTTTTCAAATATTTGTCTTAACCTGACCAAGTGTTGTTTAACTCATTCACCCCTGAAGATACATCTGAACTCTTCCAATTCAAAAGTTGGAATAGTTCATTATGAAATTTCAGGTGTGAATGAGTTAATCGAAAATTGGCTACCATGATCTCAGATTGTTAAAAGCGTGCGCAACTTCGAATGAGCAAGACAGGCCCAATATGTTTCTTGTTAATTAAAAAAAAAAAAACAGTTGAGTGTACAAGATTGGAAGAACTTCATACAATAACAGTACTGTCTTCCTTAATAATAATATACAACATTTATATAGCGCCCTATATAATTTGTAAAGTTACGCTAAAGCGCTTTACAACACATGGATAATAGATTTAGTTATAGTTGTTAAACAAAAAAGGATTACAATCACCATAATACATTCAGCAAGAAGATGCTAATCCCAATGATCCCAAAAATGAATAAATAAAGGGTGGTATGTACACGGCTTCGGGAGCCAAGAGCCTAAAATGCAGACGTGAAGAGGCGAGTTTTTATGTCCTTCTTGAACTTCTCCAGTCCTCCTTTAGTGAAGCTATTATAAAAAAATATATTTTATTACAGTTGCTTACAAAATACCGTATTTATTTGTTAAATTCGTGACACAATACACCTTTCTCAGTGCTAGTACAATGGTGTTCACCTGGTGTATGATATAGCTACCTAGTTCATAGTGCAATAATGTTTATTTAGACCTGTGAGATTTACTATAGTTATTACTATCTGTATACAAAATTAATCAGCTAGTCTACCTCTTCAAGTTTAAATTACATATCGACATGACCTCACAGCCAGATTAAATATCTGTCCCGCACTGTGTTCAATACAGCTTTGTACCATAGTACGGTTAAAGTCGAGGTTCATAAATACTAATTTTTGAGGTAATTACTAAACTGCTTCATACATGCACTAATTTCTGCTGATAGATTGTTTTGCAAAATTAAAATATGGCTTCTTGCACATATCTTGATGCCAAAGCCAGGTGTCCCGCATCAGGGTACACATTGACTTCAGTTATTTACACTATTTAGGATTTGCTACCCAAGCAAAATACATTATTAATTGAATAAAAGTAAAAACTCATTTTAATATATATTTTTTTCCAACAACTAATTAGCTGCAATAGGTTAATATTATCACATCTATATTTAACCCTTTCACCCCTATGTTACTTGAGTAGACTCTACCATGCATTGATCTGGATGAGTCCATTATGGTCTATAGTGGTGAAAGGGTTAAGTCCTTAATGGATTTGTATAGGTAGGTACTGTGTACAGTGTAATTAAAAAGTATTTATAATTGATTGCATGCTATCGGTTTTGTACATTTTATTATGATGATGTTTGTGTGTGTGTATGTTTTCCTTTTTTACTACATTTTTTGATACGTCTGAACAGTTGGTGGTATTTCTTTCTTTTTCTCTCTTTTTCGCTCTTCCTCTCATGGTAACATCTGTATATAAAATGCCTTTATGTTGCATATTGAACAAACCACTATTTTTCATAATCCAAGTTTGTATAGATTCGACAATGTTTATAGAAGTATCGTACTACTTACATAGATACCAACTAAAAGGAAGCCAGCATAAATCTCGGAAGATATCCTTGTTAAAAAGTTAAAAAAACCCCAAAAAACAAGAGTAAAATGCTGAATCATTCTTAATGTGCATTATAAGTTTAGATAGTTATCTTAAATGCAGAACTGCAATCCAGAGTCACTTAATTACCCCAGGTATTGTTCACATTTTACAAGCCACTTCAAAACTTTCAGTTATCAGTTTAGCACTCGGGAGTGAATGGGTATTAAGTATGTATTAATTGTAGTTGTTGTTTGCCTGGAGCCTACTTCAGACTGTTGTAGCACTACAGAGTATGTAATAAGTTAGTCAGTGGAAATATCTATGCAGGGATGACTGTGATAATATTCTCTCTTCCCTTTTTCATATCTCATTTACACAAATTTCTTAAGAAAATAGAAAATTCACAATACCATTACTGCAAAATGTACTTCAGTTTTCCAGTCTTGTTTTCCAAGAAAATTGTTATAGAGTATTTGAAATATTTTTCTGAAATTCTAATTATCTGTTAAAATGTGTAAACAAAATGTATCTAAACCATCATGTAACTATTGTTTTAATAAAAGCATTGATGATTTGATACTAATTTGAAAAAATTGAGGGACCGTCGTGGCCAAGTGGTAAAGGCGTCTGACATTCTGCTACCTCCACCACTGGGTCCTGGGTTCGAGACCGTCGTGGGGCAGTCGATGGATACTTGCTGTAGGTCAATGGTTTTTCCCCAGGAAATCTGGCTTTCCTCCGCCACCAAATCTTTAAATGACCATAGCTGTTAAAAGGACATAAAACACTAACAAACCAAATTGAGAAAATTGAAGAATAAACTTGTTCTTTTCTTGGAGAATCCGAAGCCGTCATTGATGTATACTGTACAGTGTATGAGAGTGTTTAGTGTAATATCAGCATTAATCACCATGGTACCTTTGGATATTATATATAGTATACCTTCTATAACCACACTGGTACTAATACCTAACAGGATGGGAGACATGTAATCGCTTTTTTCAAGTTTTACTTTTTTAGACGTAAAGCATTGTAGCAAGTACTTTGTTTAAATGTCATTGTTGACCACTAGGAAAATGATTTGTGATCAAACTGATGGATAAGTATGTCTGAAACTTAATTACCAATTAAGATTTCTTAGTATTGAAATATCGCTGTTAATCGAATAAATAAATTCAAGTAATGTTTGTTCCCCTACGAGACGCTTATAAAAAGCAAATGTAATAGTATCATAACCGAACAGTAACTATATGATTTCAATTAGAGTGTTCATATCTGAATATTATATTTAAAAAAAATCTTTCCAGTTTACAGAGGTTCAAATATAAGATATTTTATATAAATATATGTGTATTTTATTCAATGTGGTATATACCCTTTGAATACAAGGTATCTGGAACTTGGAAACAAGATTGAAAGTAAAGAAGTCTTCTCAACCCTTTCACCCCTATGTAACTTTAGTAAACTCTATCATGCATTGATCTGGTCGAGTCCATTATGGTCTACAGTGGTGAAAGGGTTAATAGAGGTACATTTTATGGATTGTGAGATAAAAAGGACAGGATTTAAAGATTCATGTTATTTTGGATAACACGCTACAACCAAAACAATCAATTTGTTTCTGACATGTACTATCAAATTAAAACAATTGTACTGCTCTAGTCGAAATTTTTTGAATCGCAAGGTATACATTTGTTTTTAATGAAGGTGCTGGATTTAATTAGATATTGTTAAAAATGATTGTTTCTTAAAAGATAACGTTTTGCTGCTTTAACTTCAAACAGATCCTTCGTAAGTAAGCTGGCATTATTTTTTATATCATGAAGAAGAAATGAACAATCATGATAAAAAAAATTCAATCAGATCATGTATACATAGTTGTGCTAATGAGCATTTGAGCTAACAGTTTTACAAATGATTTTTACAATTACATGCTAGGCCCTCTGATAACATAATGTGTGAAACGTGCACTTGCTCAAGTAGAAATATTTTCTTGTACATTCCCAGAGTGTTATTCCGGATTAGCAAAACCTAAATACATTGAATAATCAGGTCACTAGAAAATCATTTATTTGTTGTATATGATTTGATGTTTGTTATTTATTTCATACACTAATACTTGAAAGTTTTGTGGAAAAAAATGTTCATCCCCGTTTACGAATTGTTGAATTCTGACCTGTAGGATTATGTTTGTAATTTTTATTTTGAGTGTAACTGTAAGAAGTACCGACGTTGATATTTGTCTATAAATAAACATCTTTATAAAAATGGATGGTTATTATCGTATGCTTTTCTTTCGCATGAAAATATCTTGAAATGAAGCATCGACGGTCCCCTGCTTGAAAAGAAAAGCCCTTTTAATTCGGGATCAAAGATAATAAAAATCCTATTTTCACCTACTTTAAAGTGTTGTGTAACTCTTATGAAACGATAATCCGTCATAAACGCGTGCGGTGTTACTTTCAGGCTAATACTACGATTCAACAAAGTCACCGAAGTGTAACGGATATTATTACTAACATCAATGTACAGCAGACAGCTGTGCTAGTTTGCGTGATCACATGCAACATGTGCATTGCACACTAGTTTACTTGTCAAGATGTTAAGATTGTCTTGTACTGATTTATAACTATCTGTTAATCTACAAGAAATACACAAAGCAGCGACACGATGTGATGATGCTTGCATATTATATTGTTTGGTAATCGACATTTTCTTACTCCGAACGGAAATATCACTTTGTTTTTAATTTTGAGACCTTTGTAAGATTTTCAAAACATACATATTTTTTAAAATACATAACTAAAAGCCGGTCAAAACCCCTTGCTGAAAAATATGCTAAGACAAAAGACTTAATATCTTGTTACCTGCGCCATGCCCTTGTTGAGAAATGTCGGTCAGCTATAGAATAATATCCAAATTACCAACGCATGGTTTAGGGTCCAAGGTTGTGTTATAACAGGAACAGAGAACTAAAAACACCTAACCATCTAACCACTTCCAGCATTGATGACNTAATGATGTTAATACTTGTCTATAAATAAACATCTTTATACAAATGGATGGTTATTATCGTATGATTTTCTTTCGCACGAAAATATCTTGAAATGAAGCATCGACGGTCCGCTGCTTGAAAAGAAAAGCCCTTCTAATTCGGGATCAAAAATAATAAAAATCCTATGTATCACCTACTTTAAAGTGTTATGTAACTCTTGTGAAACGATAAGTCATCGTGGCATAATCCGTCATAAACGCGTGCGGTGTTACTTTCAGGCTAATACTACGATTCAACAAAGTCACCGAAGTGTAACCGATATTATTACTAACATCAATGTACAGCAGACATAGCTGTGTTGGTTTGCGTGATCACATGCACCATCTGCATTGTTGATATAATGGTCTATATCGTTCACACTAGTTTACTTGTCAAGATGTTAAGAAAGACTTGTTCCGATAGATAATTATCTGTTAATCTACAAGAAATACACAAAGCAGCGACACAAGGTGATGATGCTTGCATATTATATTGGTTTGTAATCGAGATTTTCTTACTCCGAACGGAAATATCCCTTTGTTTTTAATTTTGAGACCTTTGTAAGATTTTCAAAACATACATTTTTTTAAAATAAATAACTTAAAAGACGGTCAAAACCCCTTGCTGAGAAATATGCTAAGATAGAAGACTTAATATCTTGTTACCTGCGCCATGCCCTTGTTGAGAAACGTCGGTCAGCTATAGAATAATATCCAAATTATCAACGCATGGTTTAGGGTCCAAGGTTGTGTTATAACAGGAACAAAGAACTAAAAACACCTAACCATCTAACCACTTCCAGCATTGATGACTCAATATTACTATCGACAGTTTTGCAGCAACACACCACCTTCCCATACATGTTTCTGGATCATATTAACATAATAGTTGATTCTGTGTATATTTTATTCATTATATCTTTAGTTTTGCAGCAACACACCACCTTCCCATACATGTTTCTGGATTATATCAACATAATAGTTGATTCTGTGTACATTTTATTCATTATATATTTTCGGAAAAGTTGCCCTGAGCCAAGTTCTTCAAAACAACCCAAGCTTAAAAAAAACCTACATGTAAATTACTACACCTCTGTAACGACATCCGTTAGGAATGTATAATGTTTCGAAATTAAGCCGCCAATGTTGTATAATTGTATTGATCCATTATCGTATCAATACTGGGAGTGGTCAGTTGGTTAAAAGTTTTCAGGTCTCTGTTTCGGTTTTAACCGCGCCTTGGGACCCTCAAACGATCGTTGAGATGATAGATATTATCACTGAAGTGACTACCAAAGCAGCATGATCCCAATCACTTTTCCTTTCTCAACAAGGGAGCTAGCTAGTTATTAAGTTATATACCTTATTTATATCCTAACTACGAAATGATATAGATATTACATAATTGTTTTGAAGATCTTACAAAGATATTTACCTTAAAAAACAATTATTTATTTCCATTTCGGAGTAAAAATCTAGATCCCCAAACAATATGAATTGCAAATATTGTCACATCGTGTCGCCGCTTTGTGTATTTCTTGTAGATTAACAGATAGTTATATATCAGTACAAGTCTATCTTAAAAGCATCTTGACGAGTGAAGAAGTGTCAAAAGATACGGACCATTAGATTAACAATGCACATGTTGCATGTGATCACGCAAACTAGCACAGCTAGGTCTGCTGTGCATTGAGTTTAGAGATAATATCGGTTACACGTCCGTAGTATTGTTAAATCGCAAAATAACTCTGTAGATTATTAATCTGAAAGTAACCCAGCTTGCAATTATGAACTTAAAATACCTTCAAAATTACAGTTGTAAATATTATCCTTACTGCCAAAGAATTCTAAATAAAGACGTTTTACAATGACCATACAATATATGACGTCACAATATTTCCTTTGAATAAACTGTCTGAATAATTCCCCAGAATAGATGAAAGTACTAAAGACGATTTGTCGAGAATTTTAACTTAAATATATCGATGTGTGTGCTACAAGCTACATATTCCAGTAATTTATTTGTATGTAATGGGGAAATTGACCGAATTTTGAAATAACTGTTTTCACTTTCCCTAACGCATCGACCAAACATATACCGAACGCACTCTATGGGCGACATGTATGGTGATTTAAATTACCAATCAAACACATCAACTGTTTTTTGCTGCTCACGCGACTGTTATGCGCTGGCACGTTATCTATTTTCTGCCTTGAGCACACATCCTACTTATATTCCCAAGAACTACACCAAGTCTTGTACAGTTACCACTACAAATACCACCCCAAACCACCATACTACCGCCTCCATAACGACGTCCAACGGCGCAGCAGTATACCTCGACATCTCCAGATACTACGCCCCACGAGCAGTAGTTACACTGGGCCTGTCGCTTTGCGGAAAGTCTGACGTCGGGCCATTTTGGCGCAGACGATTCAACAAAGAATTTATTGTTTTTGCGTTGCAACAAAATCGTGCACTTGTGAAGCATGTCAACAGGCCTTTCCCTTTAAACTTGTATGACAGCACCGACATAATAAAATCCGTTATCGTGATGTTTTTATGAGTTTTCAGTCTCCACGGGGTGACAGAAGAATTGCGTTAAAGTGCTTTACCAATCACTGGTATAATTCCAGAGTTATTTGCAAAAAAGCAAAAGCAACTCATGGGCCACCATAGCCTTTCACGTTTGAATGATTTTAGTGAATATGGTATCACTTGGTCGGTTCTCCACAACAAACTACAAAAACGTAGTTCTGTTTTTATCGATATAACTCAAGTCCACAGTAGAAGATGGTAACCTTTCTTTTTAGCTGGGTATAAATAGATAATGACCCGCTATGGTCCTCACTACTTCACGATATATATGAATATCTATATATTATAAAAATGGTAAATATGGTCCTTATTAATGAAATAGAAGTAAATACGGATGTCACATTTTTTATTTTTTAGATGATGACGTCACAATTTTGAATAATGCATAAACAGTCTAAAGAATCTCACAGATGAAATAAATGTAATAAGAACGATTTGTCCAGAATGCATTTATTCTAAACCTTATCTATATGATTTAGGAGGGTGACGTCGATGATGGCACAAACTACTTACCATAATTTTTCCAGTGAATTATAATGTCAACTAAGAGAAAAAGTAACACAAATATAATGGTTGAAAACATTGCTGAGTTATTTTTTACACCTTGAGTGGTATTCGCCCATCCCTTCAATTTCCATGCTATAATGTTATTCAAGAAAAAGTGGATGTTGTTTTACCTGTCGGGTGGGTACCTACCCAACAATGAAAAACATCATATTGCTAGATAGAGTTACAATATCAATTAAGATA